TAAAAAGAATGAAATAATGCCATTTGCAGCAACATGGATGGACCTAGATAGTATCATACTTAGTGAAGTAAGTCAGACAAAGACAAATGTTATATATCACTTATATATGGAATCTTAAAAAATTATACAAATGAATCTAAGTACAAAAACAGAAAGAGATTCACAGGCATAGAAAACAAACTTATGGTTACCAAAGGGGAAGGGGTGGGGAGGATAAACTAGGAGAACGGGATTAACAGACACAAATTACTATTTACCACTGTAAACTAGATCAGCAGCATGAATTTAATGTATAGCATAGGGAACTATATTCAGTATCTTGTAATAACCTATAATGGAAAGTAATCTGAAAAAATACGTAACTGAATCAGTTTGCTGTACACTGAAACTAACATAATATGCAAACCAACTATATTTACATTAAAAAAAAAGGAATTTCCAGGGGTCTTTGAAAGTGAATTGCAAAACGTAGGTTAACAAGGCAATACCCGAGTCATTGATTCTCCAGCTAGGAAAGGCCAAGAACAAGAGGAAAGCCCAGTCAATGTATACCAGAATGTACCTGACAAGTGACCTGACCACGGTCAAGTTGGTAGGACCCGAATGTGGGTCCAGATCTCTTGGGAGAGAATCACACTGTGCCCACATGCATGGAGTAGGTCTGGTGTGTGGTGAAGAGCAAGGCCTGGTGGACTGGCGCTTGTTCACCAAACTTCCTAAGGTCCCTGAGACATTACCACCATGGTTCCCCAGGGACATGGAACACATCACCACTGAGACTGGGGGCTGGGACACAGAGGAGCATGATGAGGCCCATCCAGTTCCCCTCCTGGGGGGCTAGGCCAGCTTTCTGGAGGTGAGGTCCGCACGACTCTGTCTGGACATCTGGGCACAGGCACCACAGCCTCCCCCGGCAGCCCAAGCACTAGAGAAGGGCAGCAAGAGCTCCTCCCTCCACTCTGCTTGGGAGACCACCTCGGGGTCACCCTGAGAGCATGTGGCAGTGTCTCAAGGACTGTCTAAAACTTCCCACAAATCAGCCATTTGAGAAAGTGAAGCTGCCTATGATAACTTTCAGGCACCAGCAGTGCAGATGCCTTCCCTATAGCACACTTTTTAAAAAACTACCTAATATTCATTATGTCTTCCTACCACCACCTAATTTTCTTTTGGGCCTCTCCTTTCCCTGTACTGTTCCATTTTGGTGGAACGGTAGAGCAAAGTGTCCTTCCTTCCCCTTAAGGAAGCTAGAGAGATCCCTGAGGTCTTCTCGCCACACCCTGGTACATTCACAGGGTGGTTTGTGACTACAAAGAAGCCCACCTCCATCATGGCACTTTAAGATTGATATAAGGATGGCAGAAATGATTGGAGTTCATTTGGTGGTAGCCAACTGGGTGAGATGGTGAAGCAATTCTTACTCCTGAAATTTAAAACTACCTGATCCTATCTGTTCCTAGTCTGGGTTTTTAAGACTTCCCTTCAGTCCTCTGAGCTCCCCAACATGCTTTCAACAAATTATCCTTTCCTTTGTGGTTTGCAAGAATGGGCTTCTATAGCCCACAACCAAACCAACCTCAACTAGGTCGATGGTACCAAATAACAAATAACTAATTGTGATGATGTCAGACGTAACTCTGACCTTTAGAGAGAGCCTTCCACCTGATGAGCTGACACATTCTGAGGGGAAGGGCTCTTGTGTCCAGGGATGGGGGCTGCTGATTTGTATGGAAATAACCATTCATTCTGGCAAAGTAGGAAATTAACAAGAAAAAAACATGTTCTGAAATCCTACTAAAAAGCCCCCAGATGTGCTAGACTTTTCCAAGAATCTCTTTGGGAAAGCTAAAGGGTAGGGCTGGCTCTCCCCACCAAGTGGCAACTGGACACAAGAGCCAATAGTGTGAACTGTGGCTTTCAGTTGGGCCGTGAACAGTCAACTGTCAGGCGAATTTCCTGTTTTCTTCCCCTAGAATTAAAGAGTCATCCAGTAGGCTTCGGTTGACCCCAAGAATTTTTTTAAACCCATCCCACACACTTTGACAATGTGTGGGCAGAGGCAGGCCTGACCAGGGGCTGGGCTTACATAGGGCTGAGGGCTCTGGCGTCAGAGGGTTTCTGAGGTTTGAGGAGAAGGCAAAGGCCCAAAATTCCAGGAGATGAATCCAAATGAGCACCAAATGTGTGGACCAAAGCACGTGCAGTAATCTCATAGGTGTTTGGAGCCAGAGAGATAAAGCAAATGCAAGTGAGCCAGGAGGAGTGAGCTAGGAGGGGCCCTTGCTGAGTGACTGCCCACAATGTCACTTGGCATTTGCAACAAGTTTTTGCAGCCTAGTCCATCTCAAGAGCCTAGATGGGTCTAGGGTCACAAACAGAGCAGACAAATGAGGCAATCAAAGCAAAAAATGGAGATTTCTGGGTGAATCTTCAGCAACCCAGGTCCCCCATCTGAGCAATGGCCTACTGCCCCCATCGCCATTGTCAAACAATCCAGAAACACAGGTCCAGCAACCTGGGGGCTCTGACGCCCGTCAACTCTGTAACCCTGGGGAGTCTTACGCCATTTTGGGCCTCAATTCCATCTTCTGAGAAATGGGGATAACAGTATCTCCTCCACCTGCTTTGCTGGGTTACTGTAAAGACCAGATAAATCTTAAGAATGTCTGAAATACAAAATGTGAAAATGCTGTAGAAACCTAAGAGCATTATCAGGATCCTCTCCTGTAAATTGAAAACCTGATGCTCTTTATTTGCCACTCTTCTATGCAGAGTTCAAGTCTTCAAAAAGCATTGTTTACTCAACAGAAACTGACACTTTTCATAGACCTCTGTTTGGAAATCAATTGAAGAGACTAGAAAACCTTTGCACAAGCTATTTTTAATCTTGGAAATAAGCTAATGTACTGATTCCCTGCAATCACCCCTGTGACTCTTAAAGAAAAAATACTCATGAATTGTATATCATGACTCTTCTAGTTGTTGCAAAGGGAGTCCCTCCAATCGACCCACACTGTGAGCTCAAACGTGCAGAGATATCTGGGGTTAGCGCAGTGAGGGGAGCCGTGGTGAACCCCACTATCCTATGGTTGCTACTTGGGTTTGCTCCTGTAAATGGCTTTAATCCGGGTTTTGGATTTAGAGCTCTCCTTGCGCTGTACCTCTGAAAAGACAAAAACAATTAGAGTATTGCTGTAATAATATCTTATGTTTAGTAAGAACTTTTAACTTTACAAAGCATTTAAAAAATTCTGTTTTGCCTGAGTAAGCCCCAAGCTACAAACTAGGTGCCCAAAATTTGACTCTACATTGGTTATTGGGATTGAGAATGCATTTCCTCAAAGTTTAAGTGTAGTCAGCTAACTGCCTGAGTTCTAGGTTCTGGACAAAGGTATTATGTGGTGAAAGAGAGAAGGAAAAGAGGAAGAATGTCCCCTCCTTCCTTCTTATACAAACCCCAAACTTGGTGGAAAAAAAACTCAAGTAGAGCTAGTATCTAGAACCCTCGCATACCCATTCCTGTACCCTTGTTCTGTCTCCTGGTCCCTCTCTCCAGTCTCCTGCGCACAGACCCTCTACAAGCCCCGCCCCCGGGATGGGTGCAGGAGGCCTTCCCCCTCAAGCCTGCTCTCCCTGGCTGCTCCGTGATGCCAGGCTTCTCAACTGGAATCTGTCTGACTGGCTGCTGCCACCTTCATCCCACATCTGGTCGCCTTGTTCACACTTTGTCTAGTCCCCACGGCTAACCATAGGCCTCACTGAGATGACAGACTAAGTTGTATTCATCTTTGTAAAGTCCGTACATTCCCATCAACAGTGTAGAAGGGTTCCCTCTTCTCCACACCCTCTACAGCATTTACTACTTGGTTCTCTTTGACGATAGCCATTCTGATCAGTGTGAGATGTACATTGTGGTTTTGACTTGCATTTCTCTGATAATTAGTGATGGTGAGCATTTTTTCATGTGCCTATTGGCTATTTGTATGCTTTCATTAAAGAAGTATCAATTTAGGTATTCTGCCCATTTGGGGAACGGGTTGTTTGTTTTTTTGTTATTGTGTTGCATGAGCTGTTTGTATATTCTGATAATTAAGCCCTAGACAGTAGCATTGTTTGCAAATATTTTCTCCCATTCCGTAGGCTGTCTTTTCATGTTATCATTTCCTTTGCTGTGCAAAAGCTTTCAAGTTTAATTAGATCCCCTTTGTTTATTTTTGTTTTTATTTCTATTGCCTTGGTAGACTATGAGAACATTGCTAAGGTTTATGTCAGAGAATGTGTTGCCTATGTCTTCTTCTAGGAGGCTTACAGTGTTTTGTCTTGTGTTTACGTCTTTAAGCCATTTTGAGTTTATTTTAGTGTACGGAGTGAGGGAGTGTTCTAACTACTGATTTACATGGTGCTGTCTAGTTTTCCCAACATCACTTGCTGAAGAGCCTGTCTTGTCTCCATTGTATATTCTTGACTCCTTTGTCAAAGATTAATTGACTGTAAGTCTGTGGGCCTATTTCTGGGCTCTGTATTCTGTTCCATTGAGCTGTATATCTGTTTTTGTTCCAGTACCATGCTGTTTTGGTTACTGTAGCTCTGTAGTATTGTCTGAAGTCTGGGAGGGTTATTTCTAAAGCTTCATTTTCTTCAGTATTACTTTGGCAATTCTGGGTCTTTTTTGTGATTCCATATAAGTTTTAGGATATTTTGTTCTAGTTCTGTGGAAAATGTCCTGGGTAATTTTATAGGGATCTCATTAAACCTGTAGATTGCTTTGGGTAGTATGGCCATTTTAACAATATTAATTCTTCCAATCCAAGAGAACAGGGTATCTTCCCATTTCTTCAAATCATCTTTAATTTCCTTTATCACTGTTTTATTGTTCTCTGAATATAAATCTTTCACCTCCTTGGTAGGGCTTATTCCTTTTTTCGTTTTTTGTTTTTGGACGCAATTTTAAAAGGGATTGTTTCTTTACTTTTCTTTTCTGATATTTCATTGTCAGTGTAAAGAAATACAACAGATTTCTGTATGTTAATCTTGTATCCTGCTACTTTGCTGAATTCATTTATCAGTTCTAGTAGTTCCTGTGTGGAATCTTTAGGGTTTTCTATATATAATATCATGTCATCCACATATAGTGACAATTTTACCTCCTCCCTTCCAATTCAGATCACTTTTATTGTTTTTCTCTTGTCTGATTGCTATGGCTATATAAATTCCCCTCTTGATTACTTTCTTTATTCACAGCTCAGAACACAATGATTCACTAATTGTTAAAAATAGTGACATAACACAAAAATAAATGTCTCCCTACTCTATCCAAATCTTCTTTTTATTCAGCATTCACAAGACTCCTTCCTTTACCACATGATTTTCCATCCTTTCACTGCACAACTATCAGCAGGAAAGTGATCTCCGCACACTAACTCATACGAATATGTCCCTGTATATGCCATAAGTGTCAGGTTGCTCCAGAGGTGTCTGAATTCTTTAAAGGAGCTGCCTGATAACCCTAAGGAATATCTAACTTGTGGATTTTCTGGAGAAATGTTCAGGTTACCTGTATGGTGTAGAGATTGCCTTGCTTAGCAGCCAGTTCTCTTAAGCTTTGCAAGGCTTCTCATCCTCTACTTTTGAGCCTCTGGCAATGACTCTGATGGGGGTGTAGAAAGGAGGGGAAAGAGTAGCTATGAGTTTATGTAGGTTTTTGTTTGCAGATTGGGGCCTAACTGTGTGTAGTTATCCTTTACCTAACATTATTAAAACTTTTTTTCTGGATTTAAACTAATTCCCAAGAGTTTTATGGAAATTGATAAAACTAAAGTCACTCATTTGATATTGCGGTAACTTCTCCAATTTAACACATAGGCCTTTTGTATGATTTACATATTTATTTTTCTGTAATCTAGAAAAGTCTAGTTTCCAAATCAACAGGATAAAATTACACCACAATATGAAAAGATAACTTTTTAAAAAATTAATTAATTAATTAATTTTTGTTGGGGAGGTAATTAAGTTTGCTTATTTATTTATTTTTAGAGGAGGTACTGGAGACTGAATCAAGGACATTCCAATAACATTTTTTGTAACTCATGAAAACTCTCTCACATATATTCAAACCTAAAGCTGAAGGATTTTCACACCTGAAAAGATTAACACTTTACCAATTCAGCGTTAATGGAAGGAGAGAAAATGGGCTCACACTCTTCCACCACTGTGATACACCATACTTGAGGCCATAGACTGTGAGGGACTGGCTCATTTACTGCTTTTGCTGGGGGCATGGGTGTAGATAGGTGTGACAAAGGAAAACAGAGAGTAGATATCTTCTCAGAACTAGCCCTTGCACCAAGAGTTGTCCTGGGAATAGACCTCAGGTTGAAGATGAAAGTAAACATCAAAAATTGCCTCCAATACTGGGGATATTAAGAACTGTTAGAGGACAGATTACAGATTAATTTGAGGTAACAAAATGAAGAATTATATTCCTTTTCCTGTAGAATATAGGAGATTGTCTTCATCACAGAAAATCCACTAAGCACCAAAAAATAAAGATAAAATTCCCCATAAACCTCCATCAACCAGAGATAATGTGTGTCAGTGTTTGGATATATTTTGTTCTGGTCTTTTTTCTAGCTTTAAAAAATTGTCATATTCCTATTTTTTTGCATTTGATATTTTAACGTAAGAATTTCTCATGTCATTACAAACTCCTTGTAAATACCATTTTAATGGTTATATAACATTCAGCTATGTTAATATAGCATAATCTATTTAATCTTTCTTCCATGATTGGAGAGGTAGGTTGTTTCTATTTTTTTCCTATTATATACAATGACACACAACATCTTTGTTCCCATATTTAGGATTATTTCCTTAGACTAAATTCTCAAGAGTGAAATTAAGTCAAAATAATATGTATATTTTAAGGCATACTCATAAACACTCTCAAATTATTTTCTAAAAGAGTTATATCTGTCTGTCTACCCATAAGCATTTTTTTATAAAACTAACTACTTTGCTCCTTCTGGCCAGCATTGTATTCTTTGTTTTTAAAAACCTTTGCCAGTTTTATAGGTAAAACTGTTTCTCATGTTAGTTTATTAGTCCACCATTGTAAATCACTTGGTTTACCTTTTTGTGAGTTGCCTGAACAAGATAGTTGTATATGGGACATTGTGCTATGCACCAGAGGTTAACACATTGTGACTGACTGTATTTCAATTGAAAAAAAAAAGATAATTGTATAATATATGTGTGCATACTCCTAGGAGAAATATGAACTAGTTTAAGTCCCCACCAAAGATATTGATACTCTCCTAAAATATTTATGACCCAATCAGGTTTTCACTCAAAAAACAGCCTAAATAAAGCAAAATGACAAAGCAATCCTCACCGTTCTTTGAAGACTTTGAGGCTCTTTCTACTGGCCTCATTTCTTCTTCTTCTTCTTCTTTTTGTTCTTCTTCTCCTCTTTCCCCTTTATTTTCTTCCTCTCCTCCTTCAGAGTCCTTCTCTTTATACTTCATCAATATTTCCTCTAGCTCTTTCTCCAGTTCCCTATTTCTCATAAGGGTATAATGTAGTTTCTCACTTACATCATCAAACTTCTCCTCTGCTCGTCTGGCTCTGCTTTCAACCTCCCTGATGTGGACAAAGTACAGAGAAACAAAACAAAGTAGAAAGGTCCAGAAAAGTATCTTTCATATATAGAAACATACTATCTAAAAAACAGCAGTGGCATTAGAAGACTATATTTGAAGGGTGCAAGTAAGGGAGGCAGCAGCATCAATTAGTCAAACATTGGAGGCCTGGGGGCTACTCTGGATGGTAATGTCAGAGTTGCAGTCATGGTGTGATATGAGAATATAACACATTTATCACTTCTTAATGAAATCTGACTTTTAGGTATCTAGAATTCTCCATCAATAGCCAAGGAATCCCTTTTCAGTAGTTAATCTTGGCTTCTCTTTATTGATGTAATCCAACAAATTAAACCCAACAGGTACCTTCTTTTCCAGCACCTTTAAAACCAGATCTTACAATCAAGAAAACCAGTTTGAAGTGCACTTCTTAATTACTAGAGCACGTATTATATGGCTCTGTGGCTGTGCTCTTCTCTTGGTGTTCTCAGACATCTTAGCTATACTGCCCTTCCTGCTGGCTCGGTTCTTTCCTGTTCACAGTAGTTCTCTAGTTCATCTCTTAGAAACATACTGAATTAGATCACTCCCAACACCTCTTCCCCCAACACACACACACACACACACACACACACACACACACTTGACTTCCTCCATCACCACTGCAGATGACGACAGATGTCCCTATTGGAGCAGTGTAGTCATTGCCTCTAGCAGAAGATCTGAAAATACACAACCCACTAGTAAGGAAATGGGAAGCAGGGGAACCAAAGGTAAGCCAAGAAGTGTGCATTTCTCAGCCAAACCTCCTGGCCAGCAATCTTTTGTCTTCTTACCATTGTGGTGTCTTATACTTACATTAACTTCTCCTGTGTGCGTTCAATTATAGCCATTGCTTCAAGATACTTTGGGGCCAATGTACCTTGATCAGCTGCTTCTCTCTGACAAAGGAAGTACGTACTATGAAAGAAATGAGAATCCCAATGGGAAATACCCTAGTTCTTCAGGATGTTCTGGACCAAGCCTTCCAGAATATGTTTTTCTACTTTTCATATTTATATAGTAGATAATTAAGCACACTCTTAATACCAAAGAAGAACAGGGATTGCCTGTGGCCAAACAGCACACCAGCTTGCAAACTATTCCTACTCATATAGACATTAATTAGAGTTGTAAAGAAGCAGCAAGGAAAATAACATCAACAAAAAGAAATAGGGAAAGAAGAAAAGGTTTAAAAAATAGAGAGAAGGGTAAACATGTTTCTCTAATAAATCAAGTTAAAGATCAAGGAAATTAACTATACTTATCTTACTAATAATTCACTTAAATAAGCCTACAACATTGCAAAATCCAATTATATCTTTCAATTCCTTAGAGAACCTTATAAATATCAAGGCAGGGCAAATATGAAGAAAATAACCTCTTTTATTTAATCTGACTCAAAATATATTCCAGGAAATAAAGTAAGAGGATGGTAAAAGAGAAAATTTAGAAGACAAAAGCTAGATATATATAAAAATCTTTTAAAATGAGTAATATGATATTTTCCCAGAACTGTGTACTTTAAAAAAAAAATCTCATTTATCCATGTTTCCCAGAGGCAAGGAAACAGCACACCCACATCACAGATGGAAAGAGAGATCGGCGATGACAGGCGGCCATAACCACAGAGTCATCTGGAGGGTTAAAGCCAAGCCTCATCTGGGCCTCAGTCCCAATCACACATTCCATTGCTCTAGGCTGGCTTTTCCCAAAAGCCAACCAGAGAAGAAAAACTGTACCAAACATGCTCACTTTTACTGCAGCTCTTTTACGCTCTTATTTTCCCAGTCACATATTTTCCCCTCTCTGTTTGCTTCCCCTCTGGGGCTGGTTTGTTGGGAAAGTAAGAGCTGTCGTTGCTTAGCCTGGACCAGCAGCGTCTGGCGTGGCTGTGCCGCTTCAGCACACGCTACTGAGTGTTTGTTCTTTGAATCTGAAAGAAAGGATTTCAGAGCAGAGGCTTCCAGAACTGGAATTCCACACATGGTATCTAGGTGTATGAAACAATTTTAACTACAGGTGGAAACCAAAGTAAACCAGGACTGTACTCTGGTAACTGTGTACACTGGAGCCTTCTGACTCTCTCCTCATTCATTCAACAGATATATTTTTAGTTACAATGTGCGAGGAAAACGTCCCTCTGTTTTGACACTGGCGAGTATAGATTAATGTTTTATAGTCCATTTCAAACTCTTCAATAGGAAATTTCCACGGTTCAAAATGCTGGATGCTGGCTTCTAGAATCATGGCATTCTGTACGCATGTCAGGAGGGAACCTTCCCCGCTTCACTGATCTGGTGATCACAGACAGCGCTTTGGGCCTCTTCTCATATTCCTACGCTTCCTCTGGCTTCCATGCTTTCTCACCCATAATGATAACAGAGACAAAGGGCCACATGGCTCTTGGAAGCAACTGCCTTGGACCTTCTTCATGCCAACCTACTGTACCTTCAAGCCAGTCTCTCTGTCTGACTCCAGTTGTACCTTTGACCTTTTTGCCGTGGTCTTCCTGGGGTCAGACTCTGCAAGTGGGCTTTAGATAGGACTAACATCTATGGCTTGGGACTATCTCAGGGAAGGTGTGGCTCCAGACCCAGCTCCTTGGAATCCAGCTCTCAGCACTGAACTCCTAGCTGGCCATAGTGCCCCTGTCAGCTTTACACATATTTTCCGGAACCACTAATTCCAGGGCCGTTCCCTGCCATTGTTATAAAATGGGTAAGTTAGTCACTGCTCTTGATACCAGTGCTTGGGGTACGTGGTACTGTGGGAGGAAAACACAGGCTTCTAAGGGCCTCTTTCAGCTCTGTGAAAAAGTACTGCTGATCCTCCAAGTTTGGCTCCTATTCTCCCTTCCAAAGGGGTTCATAGGTGATCCGGCAAAATCTCCCACCTTCCTCATACTGAACGACTATTTGTAGATAGCCAGGACCTCTGGTTTGAAGACAGGCCTGAAAGAGGTTGTTTCTAACATCTTGCTTGTTAGGGTAGCTGCGCCGTAGGCAACACTACTGAAGCAGCCAGGCGGCAGTGCTGGGGGCCGCGGCAGCTCCGAGCGCTTTGTGCAGCCTCAGGGAGAGCCTGCTGAATGTAATCATCCCGTATCTCTGCCAGTCAGCTGAAATGTTACAGAAGTCAGGCTGATTCTCCGGCAAGGTCAGCGTCGGAACGATTCTGATTCCGAGAGGACCACAAGGGAAGCCCTGCAACAAGTTCTCAGACCCGATTCAACTGGGCTGCACCTGAAGGCAGAGTGGCCGTCCCTCAGGAAGGGCAGAAGCGAGTCAGTGAAGCTTCCTGGGGTCACCCGAGTCACCAGTGACTCAGGCACGGTGCCAGACTGGGGAGTCGTGCCCGTTTCAGGCAGAGCAGGCCATGTTTTGTGCCTGGTGCCTGCTTTGAGTACGGTCCTCAGGTATTCCCACGAAGTCCTCATTTCCAGCTAATTGAGGGGAGTTCTGAATAATGGATAGTCCACCCCCACTCATGGCGGACACTAGGGCATCAGGTAACAATATGAATGAGGCCCCGGTTCAGCAGAACAAGCAATCAGCCTGTCCAAGCTGGTGGTGACTTACCGCCACCACTCCTGTTGCGAAATCACTCACATTTCAACCTCCAGATGAGCACCACGCCCCTCATTCTGCCCCAGGCTATAGGCTCTGGTTTTCTCGTCTGCTTCCTGACTGCTCTGGGCCTAACCCTGATGCCTTGCCAGGACAGCCAACAGGGTTCTTGGGTGGGACTAGTAGGAGTAGCAGATAATTGGTGCTACCCTTTATCTGTCTTTTTTATATGTCTCATAACACTGTGTTTGCATTGCTTCCTCTTACATCTTTGCCTCACAGTGCTAACAAATGACATATTAGGACATTATTTTTAAAATGTGTTGAAAAGGCATTACTTTGGGAGAATGTGACTGCAACCTCCCCCCATGCGCCACTCACTCCAATTTTGCCAGCTCCTGCCTGACTCTCCATGTGGTAGCTCCCAGTTATTCCTACCAGAATTGGAGCCTCCCTGGACACACATCCTTGGACACGCCCCCCCGCAATCTGCCTCTACTTTGGGCCATGCCGCCACTTCAGTGATCTAGTTGCCATCCACCAGCACTCTCATCACAGCTCCCCACCCTGACACACACCATTGCCTACGAAGATGGAGCAGATCTCTAACAATGAAATGGTTCTAAAATTTGGGGTTGAGAAATTTGATGACATTTATGGATTTCCAGCACATACCACTCTTCCCCCAAGAAAATGCACAGTATGAACGCACACAAAAAATGGTGCATACCACCTCAGGGGATGAATGGGGTGATGCCCACCCAAAGACTCCTAAAGTCATGGCATCCTATATGGAGAGATACCAATCCAGAGCTGACTTGAGTCTACCACAGGTCCCAGGACTTCCCATGATAGAATTTTAAATCTGTTTTCCTGGTGAGTTTCCACAGCTGCTATCTAAAGGTTTCTAATGTCCCAGTAACTCTTGTGATTGGAGGCATGTGCTTATCACAGTTATCAACAGAATCTGCTGAATGAATATATTTCAAATTGGTCAAATACTGACTAATTACTGTTAAATTACGGAAAGGGGGAAAATGCTGATTTTAAAATGAGGTTTAAGGAAGAGAATGAGAAGTTTTTGTAAAGCTAAGGTGAAACAATGAGAGTTTTGCAGGGATGACGCTGGGGGAAAAAAATCTGGAAAATATACTACTTAGGAGCCCCTGGTTCTCTTAGAGAAGCTAAAAGCTGTGTTAGACCCATAGCATTTTTACATAGTGTTAAATTTCCTAGCTTTTTCCCTCTGGTTTTGAAGTTCCTAGTTGGGATTCAGATACATACCCAGGAAGACAATACATCTGTTCCAAATAGAGGTTTGGAATGAACATTTTCGTCTTCTCCAATGAATCGAATGAGTTTTTCCTTCTCTGTCGACGTTGAAGGTTTCTAGGGCACAGAAATGCCAAGGACCTATTAGTGAGCTGGTGTGTGACAGAGGCATGGCAAGATGCCTGCCGCCGTGTTTGAAGCTTGAGCTTTCCATTTGCTTTAATCATTCATCAAGCATTTTTGAAGACCTACAGGAAACATTGTGGGAGTAATTAGTGGGGATAGGGAAGTGGGGACAAGGGGAAATAACTGTGAGAAAAACAAAGAGGATTTCTTCCAGATCTCAGGACTCACAGAAAAGCAGGACAGATAAGCAGTAAAGTAATTATGGTATATATGACTACTGCTAGCACAGAGGTGTGATCCAAGAGCTATGTGCACCCAGAAAAGGGCCCTGCATTCTGCCTAGACACTCAGGGATTTTTTTTTTACAGAGAAAATTGTATTTGAAAGATGAACAGTTTATGAAATGGAGAGGAAAGGGCCTGAACTAAGGCCACAGAAGAAGGAATGGAGGGCATTTTAAAGTAGGACAGATTTAGTAGCCAAATAATAATGCTTTCCATTTATTTTGCCTTCTATATGCCAAGCACTGTGCCAGAAGTAAAACAGAAAACGCTGGTCAAGAGAGGCTTTGCTGTTATACGATGTTTTGTTACTGCATGTAGGTGAGTAGAGGAGCTAAGACACAGCCTGGGGTCATGCCAACATTTAAATTATTCACAGAGAGGACACATGAGGGAAGTTAAGACAGAATAGAGAGTGTCAGGTGATCTTGAGTTCTGAAAGCCAAAGACAGCAGGAGTCTACCTAGGAATTAGCAAGGGCTCTTGTGCCAGACTAATCTGGGTTTGAATGCTGGTTCTGCCACTTACTAGCTATATGATTTGGGGTAAGTCAGCCAACCTTTCTGAGCTTCACCTTTCTCATCTGTAAAATGGGAGCAATAATACTTACCTTGATGAGACTATAATTTGGTGCAGCCACAATGGAAAACAATACAGAGATTCCTTAAAAAACTAAAAATAGACATACCATATGATCTAGCAATCCCACTCCTGGGCATATATCCAAAGAAAACTAATTTGAAAAGATACATACACACCAGTGTTCACAGCAGCCCTATTTACAATAGCCAAATGGAAGCAATCTAAACGTCCATCAACAGATGATTGGATAAAGAAGATGTGTGTATATATATAATGGAATACTACTCAGCCATAAAAAAGAATGAAATAATGCCATTTGCAACAACATGGATTGACCTAGAGATTGTCATACTAAGTGAAGTAAATCATAAAGAGAAAGAGAAATATCATATGATATCGCTTATATGTGGAATATTTAAAAAATGATACAAATGAACTCACAAAACAGAAACAGACTTACAGGCACAGAAAACAAACTTAAGGTTACCAAAGGGGAAAGTGGGGGAAGGGAGAAATTAGGAGTTTGGGATTAGCAGATACAAACTACTATATATAAAAGGTCCTAAGGTATAGCACAGGGAACTGCATTCAATATCTTGTAATAACCAAAATGAAAAAGAATATAAATACACACACACACACGTGTGTATAACTGTATATTCAGTTATATACAGTGTATATATACAGTGTATAACTGAATCACTATGCTATACACCAGAAATTAACACAACATTGTAAATCAACTAAACATCAATAGAATTATAAATACTATTTAACATGATATTGTAAGTCCTAGGCATAGCAATCAGACAAGAAAAAGAAAAAAATGATCCAAATTGGAAAGGAAAACTTGTCACTATATGTGGATGACATGATATTATATATAGAAAACCCTAAAGATTCCACACAAAAACCACTAGAGTTGATAAATGAATTCAGCAAGGTAACAGGATACAAGGTCTACATACAGAAACCTGTTGCATTTCTTTACACTAACAATGAAATATCAGAAAAGGAAAATAAAGAAACAATCCCTTTTAAAACTGCATCAAAAAATAAATAAAATACTTAGGAATAAGCCTGACAAAGGAGATGAGACTTACGCATAGAGAACTATAAAACACTGATTAAGGAAATTAAAGATGATTTAAAGAAATGGAAAGATACGCCATGCCCTTGGTTTGGAAGAATTAATATTGTTAAAATGGCCATACTACCCAGAGCAATCTACAGATTTAATGTGATCCCTATAAAATTACCCAGGACATTTTTCACAGAACTAGAACAAATAATCCTAAAATTTATATGGAATCACAAAAAAAGACCCAGAATTGCCAAAGTTATACTGAAGAAAAAGAATGAAGCTTTAGGAATAACCTTCCCAGACTTTAGACAATACTACAGAGCTACAGTAATCAGAATAGCATAGTATTGGCACAAAAACAGAGATATGGATCAGTGGAACAGAATAGAGAGCCCAGAAATATACCCACACACCTATGCTCAATTAATCTTCAACAAAAGGGAGGCAAGAATATAATATGATGGAGACAAGACAGCCTCTTCAGCAAATGGTTTGGGAAAGCTGGACAGCCACATGTAAATCAAAGTTAGAACACTCCCTCACACCATACACAAAAGTAAGATCAAAATGGCTTAAAGACTTAAGCATAAGATAAAACACTATAAACCTCCCAGACCATACACTAGGGAAAACATTCTCTCACATAAATCTTAGCAATGTTTTCCTAGGTCAATCTACCAAGGCAACAGAAATAAAAGCAAAAATAAACAAAGGGGACCTATTTAAACTTAAAAGCTTTTGCACGGCTAATGAAACCATAAACAAAATGAAAAGACAACCTACAGACCGTGAGGCTGTGGTGTATGGTAAGAGATAACATGTGCAAAGCATACAGGCCATGGTAGGCACTCAGTTATTGGTAGTTATCATCATATTTTCACTATTATCATTATTACAGGAGCCCCAAGAAAGGTTGTAATTGCTACTAATGCCACAACAGCGGTGGAGACAAGGTAAGAAGAGAAGCATGGACGGGCCTGGGAGGAATGAGAAAAGGCAGCTCAGTTTAGGGAGCTGAAAAAGTGCAGACAGAGTTTAAGCTATTTATTGAAAAATGTAGCAATGAAGGGATCAAGAAACAGCATCAGGGTAAGAGATGAACTGTGTAGTTAACAGTAGTATAGGTGTGAATGAATGAGGCTAATGAGAAATGGCTGAATTTAGAAAGGAAAAGGGATACCTTGGAAAATAAAGAGGTAAGTGTGTCTGCAGGTGTGGTTTATATGAGGAAAGGAGGGAAGTTGAAGTGTTTACTCCAGATGACCTATTTTTAATATTGTGTGTATGTGTATGTATGTATTCACTATACATTCACTCTTCAAAAATATAAAGGGAAAGGAAAAAAATACTAAATAATCTTACCTCTTCTGCTTTCTCTTCTTCCTTTTCCTCCTCAAATTTCTTATCCTCAATACCTTCTTCATCCTCTTTCAGAGACTTGTCTGTTTCAGGCTCACTTAATCCTTTTACAGTGCCCTGTGATATAAAACAGTATTATATTATAGCTTAAGATATATAAATATTTTGGCATGATATTAGTGATTATTCCACTCAAAAAAATTTAATGAGTACTAAACCTGCAAATGGACGCTGTGCTAGTGAAAAGAATACAAAGGTTAATAAGAATGGTCCTTGCCCTTAGGCAGCTTACGATTTAGTGGGCAAGAAAATGCTATGGATGCGTATAGTCACAGAGTAGGAGCACCTAATCCAGATCTGGCAGTAGATGAGGGTGAAAGAGAGGCTTGGTCAAGAAGGTTCCCTAGAAGACATAATGTCTGAGCTTCTTCTTGAAGGATGAATAAGGGAAAAAAGATGGCACAGGGAATTCAAGGCAGAAGATGCTGTATGTGCATGACCGGCTTTGAGAACAAAAGTAGTTCAATAAGGCAGAAACTTAGAGGCAGATCGCCAGAGGCACAATCACATAGGAAGGGCTAGAATGTTATGCCAGGGAGATTGGATTTTATCCTGAAGGCAATGCAGTAACAATAACTTGATTTAAAACAATCACTCTAGCACTGGAGAATAAATTTTAAAAGGAGGAAGGAAGGGAAGGTGTAAGGGAAGGAAAAAGGGAGGTGGGGGAGCACAAGAGGATGAGCTAGGAGAAGAAAAAGGCAACTGTAGGGAATGAACAACACAGGGTTGCACAAATGAAGAGGATGAGAATTCAAGAGATACTTGGGAGGTAAATCTTAGTGATTAATTGATTGGATGGATATGGGATGGTTAGGGAAAGGAAGCATCTTGAATGACACCCAGCATATGATTTAGGGCACTATATAGATGATAATGCCATTCACAGAGATAATGAACAAAGTTGGATAATCAGATTTGGGAACAGATGAGTTCAGATTAGGCTGTGTGAGTCTGAGTCACCACTAAGATATCCAAGTGGAAATAGCCAGTAAGTAGCTGAATTTGTGGATCTGGAGATTAGATGAAGGGATTTGGGCTAAAGGTAAAGATTTAACATTATCTGCATTTAGTTAAAGCCAAGAAAGTAAATTATACCACCAAAGGAGAACTTGTGAAAATGACTAGAGGACAAGGCCTTAGGACAGGACCTAGTCACACAAAGGGCCAGGAAATAAAGAGGAGCCTGCAAAGGAGGCTAAAAGTTGCCTCAGCAGTGTGAGAGGACCACCAGAAAAGGCAAAGGAGAAAATAGAAGGAGTCAACAGTGTTGATACCTCAATGGAGTCTGCACAAATACTGACTGAAGACTGTCCTTCAGATGTTTATTGCAGCAATGCTTACAAAACAAAAGCTAGAAGTAAGCTCAATGGCCACAATAGGAAAATGCAGTAAAATTAGGATATAAACCATACAACAAGATATTTTATAAAAATTTTAAATTATGCTGTAGAAAAATGTACATGGTATAGAAAAATATTCACAGTATATTAGGATATTTTTCCAAAATGAAAATACCTTTTTTCCAGATAAAATACTATTGCTGTAAAATATTTGAATGTTACAGAGAAATTAATCATATCAATTCTCAGGAGTAATAACTTCTACCATTTTGCTGAATATTTTTCTAGTCAGCTTTATACATATGTAAACATTTTAATACAAATGAAATAATAATATATGTGTCACAATCTGCTTTTCTCAATAATATATCATGGATGATTTTTATTCTACTACATAATCATCTACTTTATCTGTACAGAATTGCATTATTTGAACATACCATAATTTATGAAACCAGTCCCCTACTGATCAATATTTATACTGTTTCTGGTATTTTACTATTATAAATAATGTTGTATTTAACATCCCTATACAGATATATCATATGTTAGAATTGTTAGATAGACAACATAGTCATATTTAACCCTTTAAAGAAATAAGAGATTGAAATGATGAGTAAAGAGAGAAAGATCATAATAATGATCAGACTTGAAAAAGAACCAAATAGAACTTCAACAATTAAATTTAAAACTCAACAGAAAGGTTTAACAGAAGATTAAACTCAGCTGAAGAGCAAATTAGTGAACTAGAAGATAAGCCAGAAGAAACTATCCAGGATGCAATGCAGAGAGGCAAAGAGACAGAAAATATGAAAGAAGGTTATACGACATGGGGGACAGATTCTAATACATATCCTTCCAGAGTTCCAGCGTTCCAGAGGGAAAGGAGAGAGCAAATACAGTAGAGACAATAATGAAGAAATGATGACCAAGAATTTTCCAGATCTAATGAAAGATACACAGCCAAAGATCCAGAAAACCAATAGAATCCCAAACAAAATTAAAAAAAGAAGAGAAAACCCTCACGCACATGTATTAGAGTGAAACTGCAAAATGCCAAAGACAAAAAGAAAATCTTAAAAGTAGCCAGAGAGAAGACATGGGTTTACTTCAAAAGAACTGACAGCTGAATTTTCAATTGTCAGTTTAGCAACAATAAAATCCAGAAAACAGTGGAAATAGTATCATCTATGTGCTGAGAGAAAATAATATTATCCTAGAATTGTATACCCAGCCAAAAAAAAATTAAGAATGAGGGTGAAATAAACAAAAATTGAGTCTGCCTCCAGTAGATCCTCACTAAAGAAAATTCTAAAAGTTGAAGCAGAAGGAAAGAGGAGAATTATTCAATGCAATTAGACAAGAAAAAGCAATTAAAAGCACAATAATTGAAAGAGAAAGGAAAAAACTACATCTATGTGCAGGTGATTTGATTAAATATCTGGAGAACCCAAAAGAATCTACTTAAAAACTATTCAAAACAATAAGATAATTTACTAGAGTCACCACATATAAAATTAAAATATAAAAATCAAAAATATATACACAAACAGTTATCACATAGAAGATAAAATGAAAAAGATCCCATTTAAAATATCAAAAAACAAAATAAAATACTCAGGAGTAACTTACAAGAAATGTGCAAAATAAACGAACTATAAAACATTATTGAAAGGCATAAAAGCAGACATCATATATCCCATACTCTTCATAGGATAACTCAACATCATAAAGATGGCTGTTCTAACTTAACATATAAATTTAATATCATCCTAGTTTTTAAAAACCATACATTTTCCAGAAGCAGATTATAGTGTTATACAGAAGAATAAGCAAGCAAGAAGAGCCATAAAACACCTGAAAAAAAAAAGATCAGTGAGGAGGGCTTAGCCTTACCAGATATAAAAATGTATCATAAAACCTCAATAATTAAAAGATTGTGGTGATGACTCGTGAATAGACAGATTAATGTAAAATAATAGAAAACCCAGAAATAGCCTTAGGTTGAATATGGCTATTTTCCAATACTAGAAATACTGTCACATGGAATAGCTGGAAATACTGTCATGTGGAAGGCAAATCAGTCTTTTTATATCATCCCAGAAGACTGAACTAGGACCAGTAGGTAGAAAAAAGCTACAAGGAAGCGTATGTCATTTAGTTCAATAAAAGAATAATGGTCTAATGTCATTGCTCACCAAAAACCAATGGGCTAACTCTGAAGGTAGTTCTCCAGCACTTTAGATTCTCAAACATAGGCCTAATGATCAAGTGCAGGTATTATACTGAGATTCATGCATCAGATGGTTGGTTGAATTCCATCCCCTTTAAAATTCTTTTTGTTCTCAAGTCTCTGTGATTCTGTATAGCTTTTGAATTTTTTCCCCAAATCTGATGTGCAGCCAAGATCATGTCTATGGCTCTTCACTAAGTTTCTAAAACTACTATAATTTAAAATGTAAAATGTTGATGAAATTATTCAGTGGTTAATTCAAAATAGTTTTGGCCAAGATCTAGGCAACAAAGAAGAATGAGAATTTGTTAAAGGTGTATAATTTAGAAGGTGGTATTTCTTCAGTGTTTAAATGTAAAATAAAAGTCCCGCAAATGTGTAGATAGAACCTTTCTTCTCAGACCCAAGAAAATGACATACTGGCCACCAGATCATACCCGTATAGTTTGTGGCTCTGATAGCAATGGGGCTTCTTCAGACTTTGCTGGAGGTGAACTCCCTCAAAGAGACTGAAGTAAAAATAAACATTTGTGCCTGCCATTAAGTACATGATACTCATTGACTTGGGATCCTCAGTGAACAGGTGGTGGTTAAAACTACAGGATTAACATAGAAATGTGTAGGGTGTAGAATGAGAAGGGAAAAAGGCCAAGGACAGAATGTCAACACTTAAGAGGCAGGCAGAGGCAGAAGACTAAAAGATGGAGTGTGAAAAGAAATAAAGAAGTAGGAGAAAAATGGGGGATTTTTTGTCTTGTGAGGAGGGATTACCAAAAAAGTGAACAGTTAACAGGATCAAATGCTGCAGAGAAGTCAGGTTAAATATGGGATTGCAGACACTTGGATCTGGCAATAAGGAATCACTGGTGACCTTACAATAGTTTTAGTGTTTCAGGAAAAGTGATTGTGGTAGGAAGGAGAGAAAGTAGTAGTAGAGAAGGAGACAAAATCAGAGGATATATCTTTTAGGATGGGAGAAAGACCATGTTCAGAGAATGTTTATACATTGATTAAATGGGACTATTAGGGAGGAAGACATTAAAGATACAAAAGAGAGAGGACAATGCACATGGGATTAAGTACTCAAAGGAAGAAATAACCTTAGATGGAAAGACTGAGACTGAGGGGAGAAGCAGATAAGACAGAGGATATTCCTCAGGAAGTGGAAGGCAGCTCCCCTCTGAAAACCATCCTTTCCTTTATAAAGTAGGAGATAAAATCATCCTCCAAGAAAGTAAGTAGAGATGTTTGAGTGGATGATCCTCTTCCTTAGAAGGGAGAAGAGCTGCCCATGCTCTTGGTCACAGCCAAAATTCTCTCCTGACAGAGTAAATGAATGAGGATTCAGAGCATGGATTGGAAAAAGCTGCTGTACCCTTATCTACTGAAATACAGGAAGAGTGTGAATAATGGCCAGTACTAACAAACACATGGCAAATACCTCTTCTCCAAGTAGGTGCTGTTTTTCTTCATGTGTCAATAACTTAATTTTTCTGCCTTTGAGGCCAGAAAGGAGGTGAGAGCACGTGGTGATCCACTCATAACATTCTCTCTGAAAAGAGACAAAAGATAATCACCAAGCAGAAAAAAATCACATTATACGAACTCATTTATTCACTCACTCCTATTGAGGACCTGCTAAGAACAATTCCTCTAAATATAACTCCATTCAGTTAACTTTGTATCAATCAGTTCAGTTTAAAGATTTGTGCAGAAGTGATTTTCTATTAATACAGACCTAAATCATATCATCTCTTATCAATAGGGTTTGAGATCTGGATTGTAATGGGAAAAGGAGTAAAGTGTCATAAAACCAGATGCAGAAAGATTGTTGGATTTACTAAGGTCTAATGCTCTGTCCCAATAAATGTTATGCAACTAACTAGGGTCAACTGTAATTGTATAACAATAACTATAACAGTAGCAAGCACTTATGTAGCACTTAATTACATCAGACTCTGTTCTAAGCATTGTGCACTCATTTGACTCATTTGACCCTCATTATGAGACTATTATTATCCTTATTTTTTCAGATGAGGAAACTGCGAAATAGAGCAGTTAAATATCTTGTTCAAGGTCATATATACAGTTACAGATAGGCTTAGATGCTAATCCAGGTGACCTGAGCTCTTCACTGTTACAAAAATATCACTTCTCCTGCCTCTGATAAAGTGAATGAATAAAGATTTGAGGTACTTTTCTGGAAAAGTTACTCACCCTTTATTGAGACACAGGATAGGTCTACAGCAGGTTTCATCCTGCTAAAGTGAATAGCAAAATTACGTTTACTTCACCAAGATTTCCTAACAGCTAAGGTCTGGTTTCAATGTTTAAAAGATGCATTATTCCTTATCAGTGAGTAAAAGCGGATGGAATCAGGAAACATTGTTTTCTCTGCAGAAGGTGATCTGGTCACTTACACCATCAAAAATCTGTACCACGTGGTGAATCATCCACTTTAGGTTCTTGAAATAAACCATGAAAGGCAGTCATATGTCTCACATTTTCCTCATTATTAGGCTTATTTTTAATTGTGGAATTATTGTGAAATGTCACAGCCAAAAAACTTTAAAAATTAAATCCAAACCTTTGTGTTATGTGTAAGGAATAGAAGCCTATAGAGAGGTAAAGTAAGTTTACCACAGCTTTGTTAACGTCATTGAGAATTCTAAATTCTGCAATCAAAGCGTTAGGGTATGTCTTATTGCGTATCAGAAAAGAGGAATCAAGTAAGGGAGAAGAAAATATTGGGTTCTAGTCCTAAGTTCACCTAATTGGTTGTGACTTCTTAAGTAAACTCTTAATAGTCTTCATCTATTAAAAACAAATGAGGTTGTTAGTTTACTCTAGATGACCCCTATGCAGTAGGGATCTGATAAAAACCTTCTCTGGTGGGGTGGGAAACCCCAAATTGGTAGCATTTGTTGATTTTCATGGTATATACTCCCACCATGGCAATTTCAGTGGGATTCATCAATTTAATATGTTATCACTGAATGTGGAATTGCGAAGAAGTCTGCACAGTCATCTCTTGTGAGCCAGCATAAGGCTCCATCACACCACTGCCCCTAAAGAGCCTTCTAGCTACAAAATTTGATGCATATATTATTTAACTTTCTTTATTATACCTAGAACAAAGACATTTGTTAATTTTGAAAATATTAATGACATTTTTGAAATTTTAGTTCTTCAGAGTTAATTTACCATCCATGAGAAATAATTCAACTATTCTCTAGCTGAATTTGCATTTTATGAAGCTAGTCATTCTCTCATAATTTCTAAGATACTGAAAATACAATCACAGAACTTCTGGTGGGGAAATATCAGTAGGATCTTTTGATGAAACTTTCACAATAATCTAGAATCAAGCAAGTTTTCCACAGAGTTAAGCAAGTTTTCCTTCAAAACCTTCAACATCACCTTTGACCAGCTATAGACAGCTTGTTTCTAATCAACACACGTGGATCTCCTTTCATCAATACTCTTATTTCTGAAAATGTCTAATTCAGGACTGTATTAATAAATGCTTCTGGTGTAAAGTAAAAGGTATAACATTCATGTCTGGGGTGAAGGAAGATTTAGGAAGGGATGGTCCAAAATGTTAAACCTATTGTAGTGGATCAAAAACAGGAGAACAGATGTCTACAGGAGATAACCTTTTACAAGGTACCAGTGGTAAGACTATGGTGGTAATGTAGTTATTAAGAATCCATCATGTCCAGGTCACCCCAAAAGGGTGGGAAAGCTGGGACTTCCCTGAGTTACCTGCTAGAACATTGCAAGAGGCAGGTCCCCAGCACTACCCTTCAAAGTCATACTTCTTCTGGAGGGCCAAACCACGAAGCTGGCAGTAGCATCTTGGGCAACATAAGGAGGTGACTGCAGCCTGTCCCATCACAGGGCAGAGATAGGAAAGAAGGGCATGGAGGGAGCCAATTGCGGCCAGAAGTCAGTTTGAAGGGCCCTAGCTGTAAGTCTTCATTTTCATCATGTTAGATAATTTCTTTGGTATGGAGAAGAGATATTTCCCTCCCACATGTTCTCACCATTATCAGGTGCTGGTCAATGTGTGTCTTTTATCAGTCTTGGCCTGCTGAAGGTTATCTCAGAAATCCTTCCAGGCAGTCTGCCATTAGCTCAGATTATGACTAAGCTCCACGGTATCAGTAACTACACCTAGATGCCTGGCACATTATAGGTGATCAATATAAAGCACTTGAAAAGACATCAATCTAGCTTATTGGTGGCTAAGTTTCTTCCAGGTTTTCAGCAGCTGGTTTGACTCTAGCAGTACCAATATACTCTCATTGGATGCCAGGACTCTTTGACATAGTGCTTCTAAGCCTCAAATGAAGACTTCATGACAAGTAATTCTCATTCCCAAGTGAAGTAGTTGATATGCACTGAGACCAACTTCTTTCAGAAGCAGGCACAGGGGTTAAGGATCCCGAGAACTCTGACCTCTTGGAACATGGCCACAAGCATTTACCTGCAGCACAGCTGTGTAGAGTCAGACTGACTGCGCCAGAATTAGGTGGGAGGTAACTAGGGTCATTAGTCACTAGACTGCCTTAATGTTCTTGGGGAGGTAGGTAATCCCCAAGCCATCATGAAGAAGCACTTTATCTAGGTGGTTATGGTGGAAGAGTGAAGTGAGAACCATCAGTAAGAGTGATCAAACTCCAAAGAATGCTTACTTAAGAAGCCTCCCACTCCAGAATCCAGTCCAGCATCATACAACTTTCATTTATTGGAAAGGAACCCAAGGAAATTTTTTTTTGATTGTTGGAAACTATCACTAACGTCATCCAAATATCAGTCCAGCAGGTTGGCAAAGTGTTCTTCTTCAACTGCTAGAATGTAGCTGGGGTGTGCCACAAATCCCACGGCACCATAGTATACCCCCATTGGACAAAGCTTCTCTGGAGAACCATCTTCCACTCTTCATCTTGTGGGGTATGGATGAGGACATACAAGTCCCAAAGTCTGATGTCATAAAGATTCAGGTATCACAGAAGTTGTCCAGGAGATCAGGGAAGACAGCAGAAGTCAGGATGGGGATGAATTTGAAATGAAGATAACCTTGATGAAAATTAATGAACTAATCATTAATTTTTTTAATAGAGTATTGAGGCACTCTCATGGCAAGTGCAGGGACTGTTGAGCCATAAACTAGTCTGATGTACCTGTAGCAGACCGCAGCCTCAGGCTTAAAGAGGGGTCATATGCATTTGGTAGGAAAAAAGGCCTGAGCATGGGATCAGTTAAGGTCTTACTTCTGGTGGGAAAGTAGATTCTTAGCCTCCTTTGATAACACTTCCCCAGTTCACCAATCTGAAATTGCTTGCAAAGTGTTAGTAAGTAGAACAGAGTTTAACAGAAGACCTAATTAGCCTGGTGGAAAGTGTACGTTCTCCAAGAGATGGTCAGGTCATGGACCTTCAGTCAGGGCCTGGAGTAGGGCAGGCAACAAATGGCCCATTGCACAAAGCTCTCAATAGATCTCCTAATACAGATGGCTTTATATAGGTCCCCAGGGTCCCCTGAGGAAGGGTCCCTCACAATAATGTCCTCCCCACATTGCTATAGCCTTAACTTTAATGAGGAGATACACCTCAAAGCATCCTGAAATCCTCATTCTAAAACTGTCCTTATCGGAAAACATGGTCTCACCTCACAGAGCTCTACCCCCGTTTAAGTAAATGAGGACTAAGGTATATTATGGAACAGGCCAGTGGGTCCCCAGAACCAGACGACCAAAACCAGAACATGCACCACATCTGAGGGTGGGTAGCAGGAGGCTTGAGATGTAAGCACATTTCCAGATGCTCAGTGAGGGACACAAGCTCCAAGAGACTGTTCAGTTCAGAGTCATATCAGACTGTTGTAAAGAATACCTCTGAGGCCTTTCTAGAACTAAAAGTAAAACTGAGATATTTCATCTCCTAAATAAGAAGTGAAATATACCTATAACAACACATTTCAAATAGTAAAATATTTTTACTCCTCTGACAGGTACCCTAATTATTTGTAGTGTTTTATTATTTTAACACTCTACTGAATGGAATTTGCTATTTTAAAATTTGGATTTAGCATCTATATGAAGTTCATTTCTCCTGTATTAAAAAAAAATTGAAAGCTACTGAAAATTAACTGGGAAAACTTTCAGTCATTACCTATGCTCTCAAATTGTTTATATAGCATGGGGATTATCTGCTCCTTTAAAGTATGAAATCACGTATCTGTGGAGTCCAGACAAAATTTTTAGGTTGTTTGTTTGTTTTTTTATAAATGCATCAATTTCTTCTCTGAAAATTGGCAAATTTTATCCTTCTAAAGTTAATGTTACTTTATTTTTCCTAGAAAAGAATTCATCTACTGAAGATTTTAAAATTTATTAGTAAGATGTTGCATATAAAAAATTTTATAATCTACTTTTAAAAAACTGTGAGATCTATCACACATACAGGAGAGCATAAAATACACATGTAGAATTTAATAAGAACAGCCATTTAAACAACACACAGATATAGAATAGAACAGAAAATTGCCTGTATTCTATATACCAGTCTTTATACACCAAAATATACTTATCCATTCCACTGTTTATGTGCCAGTCTCAAAGTCATGAGCTCAGCTATACCATATGAAACTAGAAAAGGAAGAGCAAATTAAACCAAAACTAAGAAGAAAAAAGGAAATAATAAAGGGCAAAGTAGAAATTAAGAAAACAGAAAACAGAAGTCAGTAAAACCAAAAGCTGGGTTTTTGAGGTTAAGAAAATTGATAAATCTTTTTGCAGACTGATGAAGATAAAAGTGAAAAAAAAACTCACAAATTTTCAATAACAAGAACAAAAGACTGAACATCCTATAATTATTAAAAAGGATAATGGGGGAATATTGTGAATAACTCTCTATCAATAAATTAGACAACTAGATGCAATTACAAATTCCTTACAAGACCAAAGCAAATGAGCTCATGCAAGAAGAGATAATAGCCCTACATCTAGTAAAGGAATTTCCTTAAGTCCATTAGAGAAAGTGGATAGCCTTATATCTGAATAGCTCTATCTTGTAATTTAAAACTTTCCCACAAACCTAAATGGCTTCACTGGTGAACTCTACCAAACATTTAAGGAAGAAGTAATATATAATTCTGCACAAATTGCTCTATAAAACAGAAGAGTATGAAACACTTCCCAACTCATTCTAAGGGGCCAACAGTACCCCAATATCAAAACCAAACATACTAGAAAACAGAACAAAACTACATAATTGACATCCCTCATGAACATTAATGAAAAATTCTAAACAAAATTTCAACCAACTGAATTTAGTGATTGATATATAATAAGGCAGTTCATCATGATCATGTGGGGTTTATCCCAGGACTGCAAGGCTGGTTTAATATTCAATTCAAAAATCAATCAGTGTAAGTTGTCATATTGAAAGACTTAGAAGACAACTCATTGACAGTCAGTACATGCAGAAAAAGGATTTGATAAAATCCAACAATTATTCCTTACTTTAAAAGATTTTTTCAGCAAACATGGAATAAAAATAACACTTTCTCAATATGATAAAGGGCATCTATGAAAAGTCTACACCTCCCATTATACCTAAAAATGAAAGAGTAAATAATTTCCCCCTAAGATGTACCAAGGCAAGGATGTCTGCTCCTACCACTTTTACCCAACCTGGTACCGGAGAGTCTAGCTAGTGCAACAAGGCAAGAAAAAGTAATTAAAGACGTATAGATTAGAAAGGAAGAAATAAAACTGTCCCTATTTGCAGATGACATAATTATGTGGATAGAAAATTCTAAGGAATCTGGGGGGAAAAAAAACTTCTTAGCAGGAATAAGTGAGGTCAGCAAGGTTATAGGATATGAGATCAACATATTTAAAAAAATTCAGTGACAATTCTGTTAGCAAAGAATAATCAGAAATTGAAATTACAGAAGAATACAATTTGTGACAGTACCAAAATATGAAATGCTTAGGGATAAATCTTACAAAACATATGTAAGACTTATATATTGAAAACTATAAAACTTTGTTGAAAGGACTTCAGTAAATGAAGAGATATACCATCTGCGCAGACTCAAAGACACAATACTGTTAAGATGTCAATTCTCCACAAATTTATCAATAGCTAAAATATAATCATAACCAAAATCCCAACAGGCTTTTTTTGAGAAGTTGATAAGATAATTCTAAAATTTTCACAAATGGAAAGCAAAGGACCTAGAATAGTTTGATCAATCTTGAAAAGGAACAAATTTGGAGGATTTACATTATCTAATCTCAGAATTTATCACAAAACTACAGAAATCAAGGCAGTTTGATAATGGCAACAACGTTGACACATAGATCAACAAAACACAATAGAATGTCCCAAATAACATGCCCATATATACAGTCAATAGATTCCCAACAAAAATTAAAAGGCATCTCAATAGAGAAAGGATAGTCTTTTCAACAAATGGTGCTAAAATGACTGAGTATCCAAATGCCAAAAACTGAACTTCAATATATAGCTGGCACCATATAAGAAAAAGATTAACTCAAAATGGGTCACAGATCTGAGTATATAAAGCCTAAAACTTTAATACTTGTATGAGAAAATCTTCATGATGTTATTACACAAAATTTCTCCTAGATACAATATCAAAAGCAAGACCCATAAAAGGGAAAAAAATGAGAGCTTGAACTTCATCAGAATTAAGAACTTCCCCTCTTTGAAAGACATTGTTGAGAAAAGGAAAAGGCAAGTCATAGAGAAAATATTTGTAAATCACGTATCTGAAAAAGGACTTGTATCCAGAATATATAAAGAACTCTCAAACTCAGTAAGAAGAAAATAAACAAACCAATAATAAATGGGCCAAAAATTTGAATGGACATTTCATCTTTTTTTCATAAATAGTATACTAATTTTATTTCACTTGTAACTGTTTAAATATCTCATTTATCCACTAACCAAATTACAAAACAATTGAATTTTTTGCATTTTTCCAGCTTTATTTAGATATAATTGATGTGTAACATTGCATAAATTTAAGGTGTACAACATAATGATTTGATACACATATATATTGCAAAATGACTGCCACGATAAATTCAGTTAACACCATTCACTTTGCATAGTTGTAACTGTTTTCTTATAATGAGAACTTTTAAGATCTATTCTCTTAGCAACTTTCAAATATACCTTCTACCAAAGGAGCTATAAAGATGACAAATAAGCATATGATAAGATGTTCAATATCAATGATCATGAAGGAAATGTAAATTAAAACCACAGTGGCATACCACTAGCCACTTATTGGAATGTCTAAAATTGAAATCACTGACCATATCATCTGTCGGTGAGAATGTGAAGCAACTGGAACTCTCATACACTGTTGGCAGGAATCTAAAATGGTTTAACCACTTTAGAGGATAGTTTGACAGTTTCTTAAAAAGTTAAACACACACAGGTCATATGACTTGGCAATACCACTCCTAGACATTTATTTAAAAGAAATGAAAATGCATATGGACATGAATATGCATTGAAGCTTTGCTTGTAATAATAAAAAAAACAGAAACAATTCAACTGTTCATCAGCAGAGAATGGTTGATAAATTGTGTATATCCATCCAATGAAATACTGCTCAGCACTAAAAAGCATGAAATTTTGATAAAAGCAACATTACGTGTGAATCTCAGAAGAATTATGCTTAGTCAAAGAGGTCAGACAAAAAGTGTACATTCTGTATGATTCTATTTTTATAAAAATCCTAAAAAATGAAAACTAAGCTTTGATGTTAGAAAGTGGATCAGACATTGCCTCGGGACAGGAAGAGGCTGCAAAGAGAGATTACAAAGGGGAGTAACGAAATTTTGAGTTTATTGGATATGTTCCTTATTTTTTATCAGTGATTATTTTACAAGCATGTATATATTAGAAATTATTAAATTTCTATTACAGGTATGCATGTTTTAGAAATTATCAAATTGCTTACTTTAAATATGTGCAGTTTGTTGTAAATCAATTAAACCTAAAAAGTCTGCTTAAAACAAACAACAAAAGTAAGGGGAATACAGAGTTATTACCTTCATTTTATTCAGTTCATGAAGTTCCTTAGCAGGATTTTTTTCTAAGTGATCTTCTTTACTCAGAGCCATAGCTGTTACCAGATCTTTGCAACAACTGAGGGAAAAAAAGAAAAAGAAAAACATGTACACAGCATGACCTTTTAATTGTTGGTTCCTCTTCTAAGTGTTTAAGTCCAGATCCAGTGGAAGTTTACCATGATAATTAAGCTACTGACTCACCAAAAAAATAATTTGTCTCTTGCTTAGTTTCTCACCTTTGTCCTCTTCCTCCCCCTCCATTCCCATCACTCTTGACCACTGGTAACATTGAAAGGAAATAAAGAGGAAATTGGCTAGATTTTAAAAGCTACTTCCTGAATTTGAAGTAATCCTAGCAACACTATGCTTTCTAGTTAATAAATTAGTTTTATAGACATCTTCTTTATTTTATTTGATGGTAATCTTCTAACTTTTCAGATGTAAGTTTTTTTTGTACTGTTTTGTTTTAAGAGATATTTTGGTTGGTGTTTAGGGAAACATATAAAAGTATATATGCACTGAATTACACAGGAAACTACAAGCTACTTCATAAAATGCCCCCAGTACATGCAAAAACACAAGATATAATTTATTTATGCAAATAAGGAGGTCTTTTGTTTTGTTTTGTTTTGTTTTAACTAATTCTCACTCCTACATAAGTACACACTTCCAATCCTGCCTATGCTAACACTGTTTTCAAAAGAATTCTAAATCCATTGGGAAAACACCAAAATCTCATATTCCAACAGGGCAGTGTTGAAGCTAGTTCAAAAAGTGAATGAGCATTTATTACAAGTTTTTAAAATGTTTTTAAACAATCCCTTATTGCTGCTACTTAACCGCCCTTCTCTCCTCTGCTTTATGTTACATTTAATCTTCAAAAGGGCAATAATAAGATAAACTGATAGTTTCACCTGCTCAGATAGATGGAGTATTGGGACAACTTTTTTGCCAGGGCAGCCGCATCTAGCTCTAACTTTGCAATTTCTACTTCATGTTCTTCATCACTTTTCTCCTCCAACTTTATGAGAGTGTTTGGGTCAGGAAAGTCAGGTGCCATTAAAATCAGCAAATTTGCCATCCACTGGATCATGGGTATATGCAATTCATCCACCTGTTTAAAAAAAACAATTACAAATGATCCATTTAAAATAAGTCAAACAGTAAAAACCATATAAATTTAAAAATAGAACTGATCATACCTGTGTCCAATTTTCAACAACACTATGATTCTTATTGAAAACCAATCATCACTACTTAGCTAGTGTAACCTTATCTTCTTTTGCTCACTATACCGCACTAAACTACCCCCTTCCTCTTCTTCAGGTTGGTCAAGAGTATTAACCAGTCAGGGCTGCAGTTTCCACAACTGTGCACCAAGGCATCACAGGGCTTCTCAGTGAACTCTCATGGATGCCATGGGATTTTACATTCTTCAGGGAGAAAATAGTGATATGCAACACCTGTCAAGCATAGCATAAATCTGACATGGTTCACAGTTTCAACTTTAGATGCACTACAGCACTTCTGATGATACCATATTGTTAAAGCTGGTTTTACTGATGGTTGTGTGGTAAAAAGTTACTGTGTGAAAATCAAGGTAGGACAAGAAATGAGGATGGCAATGTCCAATCTGATTTCAAGGTTATAGAGGTTGTACAGTGCCCAAGTACATACATTCATTCCATTAGTAAGTAATTTTGATTAAATGAGAATAAAACAAAAGATGAGTTTCTTTTGGGGGGGTTGTGGGAAGGTGAGTGAAATAGAGACAGATTAAGAGATAAAAACTTCCAGTTATAAAATAAGTAAGTCATGGAGATATAATGTATAGAACAGAGAATACAGTCAATAATATTGCAATACCTTGTATGGTGACAAATGATAACTGAATTTATCCTGGTAGTCATTTCGTAATGTATAAAAAAATTGAATCAATATGTTGTACACCTGAAACTAATATAATACTATAAATCAATGTACTTCCATTTTAAAATAACTAATTAAAGGATTTTTTCTTTCAATGAAATTAAACTGGGACATTAAATTTTACAAAGTTTCTTTGAGTAAACAACAATTCTTAAGAGAAATTTTAGGATGAATTGTTCTTCTTTTAGAAAGAGACGTGTTCCAAATTTACTAATCTTTTCAGGGGTAACAAGTGGCAACTTAGTCATCTCCTATCTGAGTTTTCTTTTTAATCACAATTAATTTGTCTCTTCAAAATATAATTGATATTTAACAATGAGTAAAAGAAATTTACATTATGGAGAGGTCATTTTGAAAATGGACAGTTGGAGAGATTTCCATCTTGGTCTGATTTTGTTCCTGAAAATGACACATAGCTCACTTTTAAAAATTCTCAAATTTATATACCTGAGTATCTGGAAATAAGTTTCTAATTGTTTCAAAATCTTACAAATAATGTGTTTCAATTGGTTGGGAATCTTTCGTTAGAATAAGGAAATGCTGCATTGTCTAATGTTTATAAGAACAACTGACTGACACTATGGCAGATGGAAAATTTCATCAATCAATTAAAAAATCTTTACATAACTGATGGAATTGAAAAATGAGTATTATTATTTAATAAATACAGATAATAATGAACTTCTTCAATTTGGATTCATGTCTCTTTGTGAGCTATTCTTTCAGGATGATAGTCCTTAAAAACAAGTACTGAAGCAAACTGAACTTAGCAGACCTTCAAATGGCTTTATCACTAAGCATTAACCCGTGATTATAAAAAAATTATAAAGCCTGTTCAATTACATCAGTTTTTTAACCATTATTAAAAATTATTTTAAAATATTGTTCATTTCATCCCTTTTGACCATTTGTGTATATTTTATAATGTACAAAACAGGCCAATAGAGTAATTCTTGTATGTAAATTAGAAATAGTAAGTTAGAAATGACCTGTTCAAAGATTTTTTGCTAATAGAGGTACATGAAAAAAAATACTTGAAGATCACTGTTTTAGACTGTAAAGCAGCGCAGATTAGATGGAGCAAATGCATGAAGAAAAAAACAAAACAAAAGCTGGAAGTAAGAAAATAGGTCAGAAAGGAAAATTAATGGTGTGTGAAAAGAAGACAAACTTTCCCATTTTTAAATACTTAGGCCAGTTAATATGGATATATACTATATATATATATATATATATATATATATATATATATATATATTCCTTGAGGAATTTATAATTTTTCAAGTTTTCTATACAGTTTAATTATATTATAAACCTACCGTATTAAAATAGAGAAGTATATAAAATATAAAAATAAGAAGTATATAAAGGCACTTTCTAAATAATACATTATAAAAACTGAATTCCATAATATAAAAAATTGAAAATATGATTCCCCAGAGATAATCTCCAATGGTAAACTGAATATTTTACCAAAGAAGGGGTTAATGTAGCAACACGATAAAACACTAACAATGCTGAAATGTTCTTCATTATTTCATTCAACAAATATTTACTGAGTCCCACTATGTGACAGGCACACTGCTACCCTTTTTCTTCTTAATTCTGGTTGTCTTCTAAGTCAAAGAAATTTCTCCCAAGCCTGGGAATCTTCTGGATCCATAATTCCAGTCTTATCATATTTGCTTCTCAACTCTTGGTATCTCTATCTTTATAACATGCTCATAGATTGTGATATAATGTTTCATAAGTAGTATTCCCAAATAATGTGACAATATCTGCCTTTCAAATGCCTAATTTAAGTAATATTAAAATTAATTAAATTCATTTTTATCAATTTTGTAAGATCAAATATTTGCATATTAAGTTCTACTTACAATAAGATATTCCTGTGTAAATTTAGATTATAATTAAGGCCAGGAGGTGGGAATAAATGTAATAAACTACGACATCCTTTGGAAATTATGATTTCATGTTGTGCTGGTTAAGAAGTCCACAGGTTCAGTTCTTCAGAACTGCTGAACAATTCCCTGTTTGTTCTAATAATTACTGACCAATAGTATTGTGGCATCTTGTCTTTCTTCCTAGAAACATGTTTCTGTCACCCCTTCAGCCAGTGAGGGGCACCAACATAAATTTTTTAAATGATTAATGCTATTAAGGGAAAAAAATTTCCGTACATTGAGTAAAGAGTAAAGATAATAATTAGAACTCAAAAACTTGTGATCATCTCTGAAACTTCATTCCTGAGGCAGGAACATACTGCATTTACAAATCCACCAAAAATCATCTGAGTAATTGTATAGGTTCCTATTTTGTCCTCCCAACCTCCTGCTTCAATTAGATAGGCTTGACCTGATTTTTCCTTGAAGAAAACTCCTAACCAAGGTGAAAAATAACCTCAAAAATTCCTACAAGTACATACTTGGCACTGAAGTTCCATGTTACCATCGTTAATCTCATTGCCTATCTTCAAAAGCCATTGTTGAATCATGTTAAATATGTGTGCTTGGAGTACCCTGAAGGAAAAAGCAAGTAAAATAAAGATAAGTAACTCACTTAAGAGTATAGAAGTAATTATCAGATAAAAGAAAGGGTCTTATTTGGCTGGGTCTAGTAAACTTAGGTGTTGACAATGTTTGAGAACTCAGAGAAAAGTGAATCAAAGCCTTGCATTACCTGGTGCAATGGCTTACTCACTGACAGCCTTCCTAACCCCTGGTAGGTACCCCAGTGGTGTAATGCACTTTGGACAAAGTAGATCTTACTTTCAGTGTTAGTTCTCTACTGTAAAAACTCACACTCACATCCTTTACATTCAGTTCTAGACCAGCAAGGCCACAAACTGAGAATGAATTTTAGAATTCTCTCAAGAGAACATGACAGTGTCAGGATAAGAGTTGACCCATTTCCCACTGGAGATAGGGAAAAACTACTAAAGAAAAAAAATGAAAGCCTCTGGAAATGGTTCTAAGGACAAACAGCAACTGAAGACACATCTATTCAAGACAATTTATGAAGATTCACTAAGAAAGGCAAGAGTCTATGGTATCTGAATCAAAACTACCCCCACTCTGGACTGCTGTGGTTAAGAACACAGGACTCCCTCACCCTCCAGCTCCCAGTCAGATGGCTTTCTTCCTGGGAAAAACAAGATGTCAAGATTTCTCATCTGACCCCAAATATACATTGCTGAGGCTAGGGACTCGGAAAACGCAGCTGAGAAGCTGTGATTCCCTTCTTCCACCCAGCACAGGGCTATGGGAACTTACGAGCCGGAATCCATATCTATGTTCTGTGGAACAGTACCAATAATGCTTAACAATGCATCCAACTGAGATTTCATTTCATTCATTTTTTCATTAAGTCCCTCCCAGTCTTCAAGAAGCATTTCAGGAAACTCGAGGAGGCTTTCCAACTTGAAAGAGCAGAATTCAAGAGACGTAATCAAACTTGGAAGAATTTTAGAGATACCTAGAAAAGTGAGAGAAGCATTAACTTTCAGAAGAATTTGTAAGTCTATAATTTATTTCAACAATAAATTATGAAATACTAATGGGCAGAAGCGTATCTTTTTTTCATTTTCTTATTATCCTACAGCTTGCCTAGCAGAGGCAATCTTGCAAAGAGTATTTCCTAAATAAACACTAGGTAATCAGTGCTTTTCTGACTAATGGACAATTTCTCTGATGAGTTTTTACTCTAAGGGTCTTCTCTTCTCAGCTGAGACTGAAATGCATTAAACCCAGAAACTATGAACTCCAGTTTTCAGTAAAAGACATTAATTCACAGGGTCAGCCTGTTAAGAAGACAGTGATGAAAAAAGCAGCTTCTTCATGACCACAGGATAGTTAATAACAGAAACAAAAATACAGTTCTTGAGTCATTTTTTAGGTCATCGTTCAGGTTTACATGAAGTTTATAGTTTTGGTCTGAACAAGGATCAAGTCTGGATCTAATCTTTGACTGATTCACTGAGATCATGGCAAAATACTCTCTCTACAGCTTTGTCTCATCTCATTTGCAAATGAAATGAAAATGCTCCCATCTCAGAGATATATAAAGAGAAATAATTTAAAAGCAAATGTTCTGTTGTCCTTGACGAAAATATTTTCATTGTCTTTATTAGAAAACTTTGATCTTCTAGGAGTATTCAAAATGATTTGTTAATTTCACTCTCATTCATGATTTTGACTTCATTTATTTTGAACCATTTACAATCTGGTTGCACATGTCTGTGAATATACTAAAAATTATCAAATTGTATACTAACTAGGTGAATTGTATCATACATGAATTACATCTCAATAAAGTGATGCTCAGTGCTTTATTTTGCTTGATTTTTAAAACTATATGTATTGATTTTAAATATTAATTGTATTGAAAATAATAATTACTATTAAAATACTTTATAATGTCGAGCAATCTAATTATCATTATCATTGGGTTTTTTTCTTACCATTATCCCCATTTATTCTTATTTGAAATTCTTTGTATAGTCTTCCTATGCTTTTCACAATTTCCTCCATGTGCTTCTGCTCTGGTGGTATCTTTCCCTCCAAACTTTTATGGCGACTAAATATTGCTAGCCCAATATCTGCCCAGTTTTCCTGTAAACATTTAATAATCTTGAGAGAATCGTATTTTGACACTAAGAGATCCCCAGAAAACTTGTCTTTGTCTTCATTCAACATCTAGAGGGTGAAAGGGGGGATGAGGAGATTAGCACATTAGTCACTAATGGTTTCATCAAAGTCCACCTAAGTGACTTCCAATTATTTTGGAATTACATATACTATTATTATTTGTCATACCATTTCTTCATATGACATACATTTATTTTCAAAATTAAAGTAAATTTAAAGTAACTTTGATACACTAGAAGATAACCCATAGTTTACCAGGATGAAAATAATTATATTAAATCCTATATAGGTAAAAAAATTAGTGGCAGGCAATTAGGTCTCAGAAAGCTGAGCACGTTTAATTACTATTTGCTTTGGTGAGGATATAATATTTCTGTTTACATAATCCCCACTAAACTGGGAGAGTTCCTAGAATGTACAGGTTTTTGTCTGTTTAACCCCAGGTCCAAGTGCCATACATGACATATCAATAAATATTTGTGGAAAAAATAAAGCACAATTTAAATACAGCTTGCCATTATTTGTGACTCAGATAATCCAAACAAATCACCCATACTGATCAGTAATCAGTGCGGAGAAGCAATGCAGCAGAGCAATTAAAGGTAAGAATTTTAGAGTTAGAGAGACATGGTCTCAAATTCTGAGTCAGCTACTTACCATTTACAGATAACTAAGGCAAGTTACTTAACATTTCTAACCTTCAATTTCTGCATCTGTGGGACGGGAATTATAAAACCCGCATCATGTGGATGCCATGAAAAGTAAGCAAGATAATGTGTGGAAAGCACCTTCAGCCTGACAGAGTAAGTGCTTAATCAATGAGAATTATTATAATTCTTACCAAAAAAAAAAAGAAGCATGATTTTTTTCAATTTTATCTATGCAATATCAAAATTTCCAGATAAACAGTAAAAAAAAAAAGTCACTAAACTAGCTGAATTGTATATAGGACAACAAAGATCTTCAATTCTGAGAATATTCTGCTTAAGTCATTTCAAAAGAAAAGAAAATGGTTTCCTTGGGTCTGGATGAGATTTAATTAGGTTATGAGTTTGATGTTGGAGGATTTCAATATATTACATTTTCCCCTTTGTCAAACTACTATAACATGATAGCAATGTGATTAATGAAACCTATTTTCAAAGCTTGAACCCTTTAGAAAAGATATTATGAATATACAAAATGGAATATATACATACAATGGAATATTATTTGGCCTTAAAAAGGAAGGAAATTCTGACATAATAATGCAATAAGGATGAAACTTATAGACACTATGTTGATGGGAATGTCAGTCACAAAGGATTATTTCTATATGATTCCATTTATATGAGGTGCCCAGAATAGTCAAATTTATAAAGACAGAAAGTAGAATGGTGGTGGCCAGGTGCTCAGGGAGTGGAGGGAGAAGGAAATGGAGAGTTACTGTTTAATGCATAGAGTTTCAGTTCTGGAAGATGAAAAAGCTCTGGACATGGTTGGTGGTGATGGTTGCACAACAGTGTGAATGTACTTAGTGCCACTGAACTGTATACTTAAAATGATAGAACTGGTAAATTTTATGTGATGTATATTTTACCACAATTTGCAAAAAATATGTTATTAATCTTTAAAGCCCAATTTGTCCTTCAGACAAAAGCCAGGCACATGGGAGGCACAGATATTACTTATGTCTGACAATTAGATGAGAGAACCAGACCTATCCTGACTGCCACCCAAGTATCTTTTCCTAATTTTTCTCTGGCAGCCTAACCTTATTTGACCCAAAAATCTAAACTAGAACTAAAAACAGAATAGTTAGGTGTATTTTTTAAAGCCACTGTAGCCTTGATGTTTTCCTTGTCTTTCATAAAGGCATTTTTAAAGGATGAAATGCGACTCTGTCGTAGGTGAGGAGTGGCAAGTTTACAAACAGCATTTTGATTACCAAGCTGTTTATTAGGAGGTCTTACCTTCTGCCACTCCTTGAAGTCTGGAACAATTGATTTGAATATATTTTCTTTGTCAGGAGATAAAATATCTTTTCCACTGAAAGAAGGAAAAAGAGCAAGAGCAGGGTCTCAGAACAAGATCATGAATCCATACATATATAACAATTAATAGTATGTTTCTCCCGAATGATTTTCAAGAATGCCCTCCAGCTTCAGCCTCTCCCTCATAGGCATTCATCCCTAAATTTACAAATTAAAAATAAATTCAGACCCTAATCAAAGTAAGCAAGTTACAGGGTCAGAGGTCACAGCAGTATTAAAAGGGTGGTCTCTGGGTCCTTGGCATCCAAAATTAGATCATCATAGGAATAATTTCTGCTCAACACAGCTGCCAAAACAATGTATAAATAGAAAGGAAGCTTAATGAACACTCAAGGCTCAACATCTGGGTCAGAAGCCTCAACTCCTGGTAAGAAAGAGTTTCCTTTAATGTCTCTTGAAGCGCCACAAGGAGAAAGCTCTTGATAAAGACGTTCCTGAGGAGAAAGGGAGAAGAGAACCACTGCCACGCATCTTTCCCTCCCCACGAAGAGTCAACACACAGTACAAGTGGGCAATGGCGGCGGCAACTGCTTGGATGTGTACCAGCTTCAGCTTCTAGAACTTCCAAATCTCCTAACTGGTAAACCTCTTAGAGGAAATGAAAAACCGAAACCATTGTTCTCAATTTGAAATGTAAATGGTACCTAAATGTGTTTCCTCAACAGATAGAGCATCTTATAAAAAAGAAAAAAAACAAACAAAAAAACTTTAGAAATCATTTAGTCCAGCCTGCATTCAAAGTACAGATTCCCACTAACCTTGGCTGTGATTTAGTCCACTTTACTTTACAGGCAGCCTCTTCCATTGTCAGATTCCTCTAATTGTTACAAAGTATGACATCCAGTCAAAATCAACCTCCTTAAAACTGCCGGTCATTGATTCCATTTCTCTGCACAGGCACTATGCTACAGAATTTGCAGATGGATTTATATATCCAAGTTGACCAATATTAATGATGTAAGTTGACTTGATTTTAAACAGAGACAAAAGAAAAGAAAAAGTGTTGGACTTAAATGGAGGCAGCAGCAGTTCAGCAGAGATATCAAGATGAAGAAACAAAAGCAAAAATAAAGAAATGGAACCTAATTAAACCTAAAAGCTTTTGCACAGCAAATGAAACCATCAACGAGATGAAGAAACAACCTTCTGAATGGGAGAAAATAAATGTGATTGATAAGAGGTTAATATCCAAAATATATTAACAGCTCATACAACTCAACATCAAAAAAACAAGCAACCCAATTAAAAATGGACAGAAGAACTGAACAGACTTTTATCCAGAGAGGAAGTGCAGATGGCCAACAGGTACATGGAAAGGTGCTCAACATCGTTAATCATTAGGGAAATGTAAATCAAAACCACGATAAGATGTCACCTCACACTGATCAGAATGGCTATCATCAAAACAAACACAAATAATAAATGCCAGAAAGAGTGTGGAGAAAAGGGAACCCTCTTAGACTGTTGGTGGGAATGTAAATTGTTGCAGCCACTGTGGAAGAGTATGGTGGTTTTTCAAAAAACTAAAAATAGAACTACCACATGATTCAGCAATTCCACTCCTGGGTATACATATCCAAAAGACCCCAAAAAACACTAATTCAAAAAGACGTATGCATCCCAATGTTCATACTAGCATTATTTACAATTGCCAAGATATGGAAGCAACCCAAGTGTCCACCAACAGATGAATGAATAAAGAAGATGTAGCATGGAATACTACTCAGCCATAAAAAAGAAAGAAAATTTTGCTATTTGCAGCAACATGGATGGACTTGGAGGGCATTATGCTAAGTGAAATAAGACAGAGAAAGACAAATACTGTATGGTATCACTTATATGTGGAATCTAAAAAATACAACAAACTAGTGAATAAAACAAAAAAGAAGCAGATTCACAGATACAGAGAACAAATTAGTGGTTACCAGAGGGGAGAGAGGTAATACAGGGGTGGGGAAAAAAGGGGTTATTATGGGATTATATAAAATCATGTGTGTGAAACTTCTGAAAATTGTAAAGCACTATGGAATTTAAAGAATCTTTCATTCAATTAAAAAAAGAAAAAAAGATGATCAGAGATGATTAGCATTAGAAATCACAAGATGATTTAAGCTCTTAGCAGGACTGTGCTCTTGTTAGGGCAGCTGGTTACCACACCAAAATCACTATCAGAGTAATTATAAGGTAAAAGAAAGAGAAAAAGGGAGAGGAAGAATTGGACAGGGTTATCAAAATCACATAGTATAATCAGAAAACCAAGATTCCTGGAGACCTACTTATTATTTCTGAAGAACTGCTGCCATTTGACAAGGCCCTTCTTAACATTTTGTAATTTCTCCCTTGTGGACTCTTCACTTTGTTCCACTTCCTGTTTAAGTTTATTCACTAAGTTTCTCCATTTCTGCGTCAACTTCTGTAACAGTGCAAGGTCTTCAGTGTCCTAGATAAAATGCATGGAATTAAGCCACTTACTCATTTAGTCATGTAACAAATACTTATTAGCATATACTATGCCATTATTAATATTGTAATACTAGAGACATCCATAAAAAATGAATTCAAAAATTGAAAAGATACTCCTATTTTAAAATATCAATGACACAATTACATAGTCCCTTTGGTGGTGAATTTTCCATTGTCCAAAAAGTATTAGGAACAAGATTTTTTTCCTGTACAACATGAGCCCAATTTCCCCCTAGGACATGCATGGCAGGCAATGCAGTACACTGGAAAGAACAGAAATTTCAAAGCCAAACAGAACCAAATGTAAATTTTAGCCATTGACTGGCTATGTGTAACTTTGAGGGATGTTATTTGAGATTAATGTTTCTTATCTATAAAATAAAGATGCTAATATATATCTCATAGGATTGTTATAAGAATTAAATTAAATGACCTGTGTAAATGGTTTGGCTCTAGAAACACACTAAATGATACTTCCCTCCTTTTCAACCTAGTGTGCTCACTAAATTTTCCCATAAAATTGCATAGAACGCATCGATGATGCAACTATTTCAATGAACACACTTACATTTTTTTTTCAGTTGAAGCACCAGAAGTCTATAAATAACATTTGCTGCATGAGATGAATTGCTTAAATTACTTTAATTAGGATAGAAGACAAATATAAAGAGGTAAGAGTCTTTATTTACCTTTCCTTAGATTTTTCATTCTGCCCATAATAAAGCATAAATATAAAACTGTATTTAAAATTTAATCTATAAATTAACAAAGGCTTCTTAGAGTCTCAAGCCTCAACAGCTGGAGTCTCTCTTCCCATGACTTAAATGAACTGAGCTTTACCTTAGTTGACAGCAGTATGATGAAATGCTTAGTATATTTATTCCAGCCTTTTTCACTGAGGTAAAGTCTTTTAGCCAATAAGATTTTATTTCTTTCAATTACCTATTTTTAAAAAGTATTAAAATTAGGAATCTAAAATATTAACAAATATTTTTGTACATTGTAATTAATTAAACCCAAACCAATTTCACATAACAATTTTACATTGAATCATTACTTCAATCACAATTTCTTATTTAAATCATGAACTAATTTGAATCACAAATTCAATTTTCTAAAACTACTAAACTGGAACCAAACTGAATATAGCATACAGCAGAGGTTCTCAAACAATTTGATCTCAAAAGCGCTTTAGATGCTTCAAAATTATTGAGGACTCCAAAGAGCTTTTGCTTTATGTGGATTATATCTATTGTTATTTATTGCACTGGAAATTAAAACTGAAATTATTTAAAATATATACATTTGTTAATTCACTTAAACATTAATAAACTCTGCATGTTAACAGTTCTTAAAAAAAAACTATTTTCTAAAACTAAAAAAACAGTGAAAAGAGCACATTGTTTCACATTTTTACAAATCTCTTTAGTGTTTGCTTTAACAGAATAGAGCTAGATTCTCATATTTGCTTCTGAATTCAATCTGTTGCAGTATCCCATACCATGTAGCTTCAAGAAAAATCCACTGTACACTCATACAAGAATGGAGTGAAAAAGGCAGATAACAGCTTAGTATTACAATGAAACTAGTTTTGACCTCATAAAGGGTCTTATGGACCTCCCAGGGTAGGGACCATAGTTTGAGAACGACTGATATATTGAACCAATTATATAGTCATTCAATGAATGACAGTTAAGACACTGTACATATAGCTATAAACAAAAGAGACAAAAAGTCCTTGTTTTCAGGGAGCTGACATTCTAGCTGTCATTTCCTGTTAGGGATGATCTAACACAAAGCCCCATCAATTCAAGCTACTCTTCTACAGAAATCTCTTACAGTGGTCAATTAGTTCTCTACTGTTTACTTCTACAGTGAGAGAACTCATTTGCTTCTTTTTTCCTTCTACTGAACATGTTAGCTCCCAGATTTTTCTTTTTTTTTTAAACTGAGGTATAGTTGATGCATAATACTATGTAAGTTTTAGGTGTATGACACAGTAATTCATAATTTTTAAAGGTTATGTTCCATTTATAGTTATTATAAAATATTGGCTATATCCTCTGTGCTGTACAATATATCCTTGTAGCTTATTTATTTTATACACAATAGTTTGTACTTTTTAATCCCCTACCTCCACCTTGCCCCCTCAGCCCCTTTCCCTCTCCCCAGTGATTAACCACTTGTTTGTCCTCTGCAACTGTGAGTCTGTTTTCCAGGTTTGCTTCTTATACTACATTTATTGTCATGTTGTTTTTTCTGGACATGTCAATGTCCCTTTTAAAATTGTGCATCAGGATAGAACATTTGTGTCCAACATGAGGTCTGACCATTGCAGAGGAAAATGGGACAAAAATTTGAATCTGTTGAGGATGCATAATTTACTATATTGTCTCAAACATGAAATTAGCCAAACAAACAGCAAACAGTTTAGAAAAATAGAATATTGTAGGATTTTGCTACTTTCTTAAAGCATCATTATAATGGTCCACAGGCTGCCATATTTCAACTCAGGTGTCATCTTGGGTACCAAGGTAATAGAACCAAAGTGAGTTATCCAGTGATCTTAATTCAGTTATATTTTGTAAAAAAAGAATAACTTTTCCTAGTTTATTAGTAGTATAATTAAAGTTGAAAGTTTTAACATGTTCACAAACAACAGAAAAAGAAGTCTTGCTCATACTTCATAGGTTCCGGTGGGAAAAAGAGCCTTTAATTGGGCAACAGCCAAGTACCCAATAGAGAAGAAACAAAAGAAAAAAATGTAACTTTTCCTTTTCAAGGCCCATAATAGAATAGCTACACGATTCATCAATCAAATATATCTCTTCATTTTTAAAGTTTTGCCTAGATCATTGAAAACTGTCAAATGAATCTTTACTTAGCCAAAAAAGAAGTTATGATTTCAGATGAACCAACCTTTAGGGACAATTCGTATGTGGCTGAACTCCAGATAGCTCTTTCTGTCATTAACTGTTTAATATCACTCTCCATCCTCCCTCTTTGTAATGTATATAAGTCGTGATATTCTTCTACAATTCTGAAAGAAAAATTAAGAAACAGCTATATAACTATATTTCAAAAAATAACTTTGTTCTAAAACAAGCAATTCGTTCCTTTAAAACTCATTATAAGGGAATTATGGTATAATTGCTGGATATAGTAATAACACTAATATACAGTGAAATAGAAGGAAAAAATCCCCATTTCATTTATAAATCTTACAAAGGTCTTAAAGTAAAAAGTTTGATATATGGTTCCTTGCTCCCTCACTTTTCATCATATTCTTCTTTATTCACTGGAATTTTCTCACCATGGTATTCTAATGGTATAACCACACAATATCTAATGAAAAATTCAGAATACAAGTAGCAGTAATACAGCTGTTTTTAGCTTTTTTTCTCATAGAATTTAGGATTCTTCATTAAGAAGGTACCAAGGCACAAAGCCCAATACCTGTTAAGCCACTGTATTTTAAACTATATGTAATCAGTATAAGACTTAAAGAAACTCTGTATCAATCAACCAAAAGCTTAAATATAATTATCTTTTTCTTAACTCTTATTTCTTCACGTTTACCAGAACGTATCTTTTCCTTCTAACTTACACTAAAGCTTCTCTTAGAATTAAAAGCCCTTCTGAGATTAAATACAAACACGGAAGTTGTAAAGTGACTAGTAGCCTTTCACAAACCTTCTGAAGCACTTCCTCCTAAGGAATATTAACTTTGCTGAAAGAATTAAAGGCCAGTGACATAAAATTCTCCGAATTTTGGTGAAAGCCATAAACCACCAGCATCAGTTCCTTAAGCCTCCTTCTATTTGGAGGCTTCCATTTGTTCAAACTAACTGAGAAAAAACTAATCACCTTAGGTGTCACAACAGATCAATATATATATATTCGATAAGCTATAACTTTAAGAATTGTACACTTTACTACCTGAAAGTTAGACCTCAATTTTAAAAAAGGGAATTAATGATCCTTATTTATAACAGCAAAAGAGAAAAAAGCAGAAACAATCTTAATATTCAACAACAAGGGACTGGCCAAATATACACTATAGCTCTATGATGAAAATACTCTGCAACTAATGTTCTTAATACTCTGGAAATAGGAAAATGTTTTGTGTACAATATAAAATAATAACACCCAAATTATGATAGTGTATATTTAGTTTGATATCATTTTTGTAAAAAGTACATAGAAAAAAGAAAAATATGTTAAAATATTAACAGCAGTTAACCCTAAGAGAAATAATTATGGATGCTCTTTATTTTCTTATTTATGTGTTTTCATACTTTCTAAATTTTCAACAAAATAATGTTATTATAGAAAAAAAGTGTCCCCTACAATTTCTAATCTCAAAAAAACCATCCCACTTCAGAACCACCAATGTTTAAAGATAACGAGATTTTTTTTCTCTTTTTTCTTCCCCTTCTATCTGGTTTTAGAAGATGTTTTGTTCTTACAATGGACATTAGCACAAAAAAAGTTCTAGTTCTTTTTTTTTTAATTCATTCAACAAATATCTGTTTAGTGCCTACTTTATGGCTGGGAGTGTTCAAAACTAAACAAAACAAAAAACCTTTGCCCTTAAGAAGTTTATCCAGAAGACCTACATAAAACATAATATATTAAGTACTGATAGTGCTATGGATAAAGATAAGTCAGGGAAAGAGGACTGAGTGTGAAGTGTATTACAATTGTAAATAAGGGGATCAAGAAAAACTTTACTGAGAAGACATTTGAGCAAAGGTCTGAAGGAAGGAGAGAGGAAGCTATCCTCCTCCAGGTCCTGAACTCGGAGTCTTCCTGGTGTGTTCAAGGAACAGCACAAAGGCAAGCAGATCTAGAATAAACTAGGAGAAGTCAGAGAAATTCTGTAGGATGAGTCTCGCAAACCATTTTTTAAAATGGCCTTCTACTAAATAAATAAACCTAATTCCCTTCCTTTCCAAAATAAAAGAATTTTTAAAATGATCTTTTACTGTAAGATGGGGAGGTACTGAAGAATTCTGAACAGAGAAATGATATTATTTAAGTGCTATGAGATCACATTGGCTGGTGCGTGGAGAACAGACTAGTCTACTGTAAAGGTAGAAGAAAAAGGGCCACTCAGAAGTTACTGTAACATGCCAAGCAAGACATGAAGATGGAAGTAGTTAAAGGAGTGAAGATTCTGCATATATAGTGAAAGGAGAGCTGATAGAATTTGCTGATGGAGAGATGGGAAATGTGAGAGAAGGAAGGAGATCAAGGATAATGCTAAGATTTTTGGCTGGAAAACTGGAAGGATGGAGTTACCATTAACTGAAATGGGAAAAGCACGTGGGAAGAGTAATTTGGGGGGAAGAACAGAAATTCAGTTTCGGAATGTTAGGCATCTAAGCAAAAATGTTAAGGCTGTTGAATATGTGTCTGGGATTCAGGGAGAAGATTGAAGCTGGAGACACAAATCTGTGAGTCGAGAGTACATAGATGATGGCATTAACAGCCAGGAAACTGAATATATTCACTTAGGAAGTGAGTATAGAAAGAGGAAAGATCCAAGGAATGAGTGAGCCAACATTTAGAAAAAATGAGATGTACGGAACCCGTAAGGGATATCAGTAAGAAGGAGCCGATGGTAAAGTAGACGGAAAACTAGGAGAGTATAATATACTGAAAGATACTGTTTTAAGTAAAAACAACTGGTCAATTATAGCAAACACTGCTAGGGAGTCAAGTTAAATGAGAACTGGATTTAGCAGTATGAAAGTCACCGGTGACTTTGACAAGTGACGTTTAGGGGAGTCGGGGGGGTGAAAGCCTGACTGGAGCAGGTTCGAGTGGAAACGGGAGGACAGGAAGTAAGATAATCAGTGTGACAACTTTTTGAAGAAGTCTGTTGTGAGGGGAGCAGAGAAATAGGGCCACAGCTAAAAGGGGATATGCCATCCTAAGGGACTTGGGAATTTTACGTTTGGTTTTTGGGTTTGGGGTTTTCTTCTGTTTTGTTTTTTGGGTTTTTTTTTCTTGTTGTTTTTAAGGTAGGAGTAATTACAGCATATTTGTATACCGATGGGACTAATCAGGGAGAAAGGGAAAAATCAATGAAACAAGAGGAAGAGGGAACATTTGCTGAAAATACCTTGAGCAGGTAAGAGCAGGTGCAATAGTACACGAATGGAGACACTGGCCTTAAAAAGGAGACCATTCATCCACAGCTAGAATGCATGAGCACAGGTGCAGGTGGGTGAGAGATGCAGGGGTGAGAGCTTGAGTTCTCTTCAGTTTGCTTCTACTTTTTAGAAAGCAAGGTCATCAGCTCAGAAAGAGGACGGAGAGATGGTATCAGAGGTAAGAGGATAGAACACAAAGTATAGAATAGTTATTTACTAAGACAGGAAGGGTGAATCAGTTAGAGTAAACAGCACATTCAGGGGGCAAAAAGCAATCAGGGTATCACTCTCATTCTAGCAAGGAGTAAAACAGAATAAAAGAATATATGTTTGAATTTATATTTGTATACATTTGTATTTTTCTTGACATTTAGAAAATACAGTTACTCTTTAACACATCTTAAAAAAAGCAAAAGACAATGCCTGATTAAAAGGGACATAAAGTAATGCAATGTATAGTCCTAGACTGGGTACTGGTTTGGAAAACCCAATGTAAAATTTATTTTGGGAATAACTGGAAAAATTTAAATATGAACTAGGTAATTTATGAAGTAAAAAATTTGCTGAAGTAGGTAGAGATTGTTGACTAAAAAAAAACCACGCCGTATATACAATTTTGGTTTTAAAAAATGCCACGTACATAGAAGAAAGTTCCACAAGAATATACACTAAGGTATTTACGGTAGTAATCTACAAGTGGTAAGATTGTGATTATTTTAAATTTATTTTTGCTTGTCTGTATTTTCTAATTTTCTTATAAGGCATATGTACTGCTTCTATGATAATATAATAATATTATTTCTCAACTAAATAAAAAAATTAAAATGCAATCAGATATATCTTTTGACATATAACCCAAGAGCTTCCTAGTAATCAGAACTCTAACAGAAAATGAAATAGAATAGAGGTCAGCAAACCACAGCCTAGGGGTCAAACCTGGCCCATCACTTGTTTTTGTATAGTACGTGAGCTAAGTATTTTAACCTTTTTTTATTTTTTACATATTTAGTTTACTTTTTATATTTTTAATGGTTAAAAAACAATAGAAGAATAATATTCTGTGACACACGGAAATGTTATAAGTTCAAATGACAGTGTCGATTAATAAAGTTCTATTGGACACAGTCATGTTCTGGTACTGTCCTTGGCTGCTTTTGCACTACAGTGGCACATGTCACAAAGGCAGTTGCATCAGAAACTGTATCTCACCATCTGGCCCTTTATGGAAAAAGTGTGTTAACCTCTGAAATAGAATAAAAACATTAGGACCACAGTAGGTTCACTAAAATCTAAAAAAGAACTAGACTCACACCACTAACCAGGAAAACGCAAACAAAAACCAGATAAATTCCCGTATTTATCAGATTGATAAAAGAAATGGGTAAAAGGGAACTCTCACACACTGCTGAGAAGACATACTGGTACAACTACATTGTGGGATATTTGGTAACATCTAGCAAGACAAGGCTATGCACGTCCTATGACCCAGTAACTCCACTTCTAGGCATATACCCCCAGAAAACTCACACAAAGACACTTAACAAGATGTGTATTTCAGCAGCGCCTGGAAGAGTCAATATATGTAATGAACTTTACATGTATTAACTCCTTCAGGGACCGCTGTAATAAAAAAAAAACTTCAAATGTTTCTATAAAATTTTATTTCTTGAAATAAGATGTGAAGCAAGTATGACATAATGCCTAACATTCGGTGACTCACTTGGCGTTCTTTTCAGCGTCTAGAAGAGCTTGTGCCAGATCCCTGTGGGCCCTCTCTGCTTCCTTTGTTAATTTCACATCATGTGCCCGAACCAGACACAGCTCCCTGAAATAAAGCAAACAAACTTTGTATTCACAGTTGAGGACATTGAAAACGTTTCTACCCAGGAAATCAGATTTATACTCAGGAATCTTACTAGCTATCATGTGTACATCTTGTGCTAGTTTTTTCACCTTATAAATCAAATCAAGAAATCTAGTGTAAATCTAGATGAACTCTTACCGGGTTTGGCAATGAAATCAGACTGACTAGAAAAGGCAGAAAGAAGATGGGAGCATCCTCTAGAATGGAGTGAAGACTACGGGCAAGGCCTTAAGGCTGCTCTATCCTACCCTCTGACATGCCTGTCCTATCTTGCCACTAATCATTTTTGCCACTAATCATATTGCCACAAGATAAGATGATCACTAAGTGTGACTGCCATATTATGCTTATTCTCTCTGGGATTTGAACCTTAACATCCATAATCATGGCACTGCTCTGTAAACCTGATTACGATAAACATGTCTGTCTTGGAGGGAAGAACAAGAGTCTTTTCCGTATCAAATATACACAGAAACCTAGCTTTGTGTTAACCTGTGTAACACGAGTCTCTGTATATACATCTACATCTATATCCAGGTCGTTCTGTTCTCAAGCTGAACACGAAAAGAGAGTAAGAGAGTCCTTATCTTTAATCATTTTCCTTTCCCTGAATATTTTTAACTCTCTTTAGAAACATGGCTTTGATAATCAGTTTTTACCTGGTCAGCTCCTCAATAACATTCTTAAAATTGTACAATTCTTCTAAAATGCGCTGGTCTATCACTCGCTGAGTTACCATGTCTTTGTAGAAGTCAATCATCTGCCGGGCAAGTTGGTCAAGCAATTGTACATACCGCTCTCTGCGTGAAAAAGGAACACAAGCCATTATGAAGAAGAAAAGGAAAAAGGAGCCAGAAAATAAGTGAGAGAGAAAGTAATGTTAGGGAAAGAATTAGTAAAGAGACACACACAAACGATAGGTGGGAAGAACAAGACAGGAAAAAAAACAAAAAGATCTAGCCTGTAAATTTCTGTCATGCTCACCCAGTGAATGAATTGCGGAGAATGTTAACCAGAGTCAAAATTATTTGTAATATAATGTCTGAGATGTAAAACAAAATAAAGGTTTATTTTATTTCTT